TTATGCATCATAAATCTACTCCATCAAAATTCTGCTGCCTGTGAAACAACTTACAAAGTTGACCATCTTCTTGAAGCACATCAAGGCTTACAGAACACATATGAATGGAAGGACTATGAATCCCTTTATACAAGCATGGTGCGAAAATGTGGGACAAGTGACTACTACTCTATCAGAGCTGCTCTCTCATCAAAACTCAAAGCCTTTCTATTTTTTGAGTCTTAAACATACCATCCTACCCAGATGACTTAAAATTTAGTATTTTCCTGAGGCTAGAATTATCCCACCAAATGTAAACAGCTGAATTCCAAAATACAGCATTTGGGATAGCACCATTCATATTTACAAACACCAAATCACAATTATCCTTTTCCCAGTTTCCTCCTACTCTTAATGACTGCATGAAGGTGGAGGTCTCTGAGTAATCAGTGACACATAGCTAGTAATACTTTTATTTTATAAAATCAAGCCATTAATATCTGAGACTTTTAATTTTTTATGCTCCTTTCAAAGGAAATAAGACCTCCCAAAGTAAAATCCCAAACATGAACAGTTGTGGGACTCTTAAAATTACGTGCTAATATACACATTGTCAGTATCCTAACAGTCCATGAAAAGAAGAGACAAGATTTGACATCAATCCACAGCCTACCTTACTGCACAACAATTCCATGTAGACCCCAGTCAGCCAGCAAACTCACCTGAGAGGAAACCCTGCTCTGCCCTAAATTCTCAAAGGCCACAGGGTCAGCTGTATCTGCAATTGCCAGATACAATCTGAACTCTCCCGCTCTCAGAAAGTACAAAAAGACTCCTCTTGGCAGCACCCTGTGCTTAGGCTGGGCCAGGTGTGATGTGATGGCCATTAGCCTCATTTGACTTCTAAGCATTCAGAACAAAAAAGATACATGGGCGACCACAACAGATTTCAACTGCCTCATTTGTTAGCATCGTTATCATGACGCTGCTGCATTAAGAGGCATTCAAAACAGCAAGTATCTAGAATGTATGAAGATGGATGAAAATGCTGAAATGCTCTACTTATACACACAATCACTGTTTCCAAAAGTGGCAATCAAAACCCTCAAACCTCATCACAGAAGGATCATCTGCCAGCTGACCAGCATTGGAAATGAGCTAATAGCAATTACTTCCTTAAACATAAGCACAGCAGAAAATCCATTCATCTCTAAAACATTACAAAAATGGATACACTGCAATATTTTGCTACAAAGTATAGATTTAATTTGAAAATAACTTTTTCTAACTCTGAGATGTGATAACATAAGAACACAGAACCCAGCAAAATACTTGGCATGGGACCATCTGCTGATGTTATGCACACCCACTTTAGTTTCAATTTCTGTTCCAAAAAACCTGCACAAAGCCTAGGACAGCAATAGGTGAACTCTTTTCTACAGACTACCACTACTGGGTACAAAATACTTTCATACATAAACCCTTTACTGCCCTCGGTCTTAAGGATTACACGTTGTCCTGTGTTAAGAACTAACCTCAAACATTTTGTGTGGCGACTTGAAAAAACTATCCATGTATTAAAGAACATCACACCTAAAGTATGCTTCCATGTGCAAGCACAGGTTTTACTTTACATCCTAGGCTTCTGTGATGGAGCTACTTTGCTAAACTTGCAAGCTTACATGCATTTAATTTAATATTAAAGCTCGTACATGCTACTTATTTTCTTTTGCAGTTCATGACCCAGTCAAGTACTTAAACCTCTTCTGTTGGGCAAGCTAATAAATTTCAAGCAAACCAATTTTTTTTCCCTTCAAACAGCAAATATTGCTTAAAAAAATCAGATCACGACAAGATTTTTTTAAACGAACTCGATACCATCATAGCCCTGAAAATAGCTGTAGTACAAATGCTGCTGTTAATACCTCTACTAAGCAACCGAGTGAAGAACTCTTTCACTACTGCTGCTATAAATTTGTTTGCAGCAAACAACGACATCAACAACCCCGGCTTAAGAAGCAAAGCAAGTGACTTCTGACAAAAAAGATGCCTAATGCAGACTTCGGGATGAGGCAAGAAAACTTCTTATTTGAGACAGAATTTAAAGAAAAACAAACAAGACAGAGAGAGAACTCGCCTTTTATTCAAGCAAGCAGAAGTGCAAGTCAACAGCACAGAAAATACAAGGGCATAGGTCACGTTTAAATGCTTTCTGCAACAGATACGAAGATCCAACATTAAACAATGAGACTCTATGGACAGTCCTAAAGAAATATACTCTTTAGAGATTCCAGACAAGAATACCATGGAATAAAGTCTGGGCCCCACATAATCAATCTCCAACTAAAAAAAAAAAATATTTACTAAATTCATATTATTGAAACACGCTGCACATCCATTCGAAAAAGCAGACCTCATTTCCCAGGTACGAGGAAGAGATCTGACGACTTCACTCACAGCACCACAGGCTTCTCTGAGGCACAACACCGGAGCTGGTCCTGAGCACAGCCAGCAGCCGCTCTAACCACACAAAGACATGCTCTCTTGCAGCGCGACTGGCAAGCCAGACAGCACACGCTTCTCCTCCACACCCTTACCAGAGCCTGCCTTTTGTGTTCTGCGTAGCTACAAGCAACCAGAGGGGAAAACGCGGCAGCGGGACAGGAGCGGCTCCCAGGTGCCCGGGCCGGCAGCGGCACAGCACCCGCGGAAGCTCACCTTGTATGACGTGTTCCGGGGAGATCGTTTTCTTCTCCGATTTGTTGCAGATCTCATTGGCCTCGGAGGAGATGAGGTGGATGAACTCAGTGCAGCAGTTGACCACCAGCTCCCGGGCGTCGTTCGCCACGCGGACGTTGGGCAGCGTCTCTTTGATCATCTTGTTGATGGCAGCCCGGGGGATGGTGAGGTCGTCGTCGTTGCCGGACGACGAGGCCATCCTGGCTGCGCTCGGCTCACGGGCTGCGCTCGGCGCCCGCGCGAGCCTCCAGGGCGCGGGGACCCGGCGGGGGCGGGCGGGGCCGCGGGGGCGGCGTCGCCGAGGGGCGGGGGACGGCGGGGCCGGGCCGGGGGTCGCTGCCGGGCCGGAGGGTCGCGGCGCCGGGAAGCGCTGCTCGGGCTCAGGGCTCCCTCGGCCGCGGCGCCTGCCACTGCCGCCTCCGCCACATCCTTCGGCCGCCGGCGCCGCTGCCTTAAGAGCCGTGTGAGGGGAGGCGAGCGGCGGAAGCCCCGCGCGGCTCCGCTGGCCCCGGCTGGCCCGGCCGTGCGGCGGCCGCGAGGCGGAAACGCTCCGAGCCCGGCTCAGCCTGCGAGGGACGGCGCTTCCGCCGGAAGCCGGAGCGGCTTCCGCCGCCGGGAGCGCCGGAAAGGCCGCGCTGCCACGTGCGGGCGGCGGCGAGGGGTCCTTCAGCCGCCGCCCTCCGCCTGGAGCTGCGCTCCGGCCACACCCGGCTCCCCCCGGCTTTCCCCTCGGTGCCGGCAGCAGCAGGGGATCTGACAGCCCCGCCAGGCTCGTCCCTCCGCAGTTGATTCACGACTTGCAGGCAGGGCTGGCTTTACTCGGCAGCTATCTATCTATTACACTGTGTTTTCTGCTTGCACTCACTCCATAGCCAGTAGTGTGAGGGTTGCACGAGACGGAATTAGCCAGACCACGGTAGTGTTTGTGAAAGGCTCACTAAACCCACGGCCCTGGTCTTGCCTTGCTGTGTGCTGCAAAGGAAAAAACTGCCCCGGAATGCAGCCCAGCCCGAGCTGCAGGACAGAGACAAGCACAGCTGAGCCGACACTGGGGCTGCTGGCAGGCCTAGCCCTTCTGTGGGTGTCTCTGTCCAGTACCCTGTGCTGACCCTCAGCAGGTGGCAAGGAGATCTCAGCTGCAGAGGGGCAATTTGCCAGGCTCCCTTCAGCCCCAGCAGCACTCTGCTGTCATTTAATTCCTGCTCTCTCCTTTCGGGCTTGCTTCTGTTCACCTCTGTCATCCACACGCTGATGCTGGGCTGCTTGGGGCCCCCAGCTGTGCACAGCAGCTGCTGCAGCTGCTCCTGTCCCCTCAGTCCCCTGCATGCCCCTGCATCCTAGGCCCCACCAAAAGGGTCACAACTGCAGAGCAAGCCCTGCATTAGCCGCAGTCTTTGGGAGCCGCAGAAACTTTGAGCTCCTTTGGGGAGAGGCAGGGCGGGGCCGCTGCAAGTCACAGCACGGAATTAGATTTTGGCTCTCTGAGACGGTATTGAAGGAAAGCTGGGCTCTGTGGGTGGAATGTGCTGGGAAGCTGCAGCCTGGAGGCCCGAGGGTCACTCGGCCTCTGCTGCGGTCAGGGAACAGCAACGACAGGCTCAGCAATAGCACTGCAGCCAGGCTCCCCTCAAACCTTGGCCTCAAACCACCTGGAGCACTAGGCTGAGAAAAAGCAAGGGAAAAGATCCGCTCTACATGACAGAATTTTGGTTTAACACGTACTTATTAGGATAGCTTGGAACAAGAGGGTTCTGTATCAGACACCGAAGGTACTGAAGGCATTCAGTGGATTGAGATTACTTATTACTGACAATTCTTTGTTTTCAAAAAGTAGTACCCAGACAGTAAGAAGATATTTTATTTTAAGATGCTTTAAAAAAACATTTTATTGCTTGCTAAGTGCAATATGCTAGTAACCACTGCATATAAAGGAAGCATTTAGAATATTATAATAAAAATATATTAATAATAAATATTCTACTAGTCACATTTTAAGATTGATGAGACTTTCTTTTATGTTGCTGATAAATAGATCCGACTTCTGGAAATGAGAATGGCAGTGTAATTGACCAATTACAATACTGATTCTATCCTAATAAGTAAAAACATATTTTTATGATATTAAGAATCTAAATCATCTGCATACTGTACACTTCTCAGTGTGTATTATATTCAAGTAAGTGAAGGAGGTCAGGTTAATATTGAATACACAAATATCAGTCAGTGTTCGTGTTCCTAAGAAAACATCTCTGGAAAAAGCAAAACACTAAACAGAATAAAACTACAGTTAGAGGATTTTAATTGCAAGGGTCTGCAAACAGTAACATTCAAGAGATACACATTGAAATGAATATCTTAGCTAAGCTCAAACAAGTACCTTGCATGCATTTTCTTAATTACAGACCAAAGGCATTTGAATAACAACATACTGTGTCATCAGTAGCTACAAAAAATAATTCCAATTTGCACTATATAATCTCATACTTATTGTGAAGGTTTTCCCAGGTCAAAGCTCTTTCTGCTTCTCCACCGTAGCAATTTGATGAAGTTGAGACTTGCACTGAAGATTTTGTCATGCTGAAAAACCATTTTGTAGAATATGTCAATGGGTAGATCTCCATTTGGATCTGCATACTTCAGAGTTGTCATTGGAGTATACAAGGTGTTGGTCTGATGGCGAAAAGGTGGATTTTCTGCAAGAATTATCTTTACTGTATGCTGTAGAGAAGGAGAAACAGAATTTTAAAAGAACCTTTACCAAGACAGTAAAGTAAAAACCCAGTTTTCAGTGGAAAAGTAGAAGAATAAAGTGCTAGAATTATGTAAAACCCTGTATAGTTTTACTAAACCATCATTAGAAATTCTTATTGAAATATTCAAAGGCCATAAGAAGTATTTCTTATTGGCCATAAGAAGTATTTCTTATTTATTCTTCTGTTTCTCTATACCATGGCAATAGCATCTGACAATTTAGTATCCTGAGTAGTCTTCCAAATGATTGTGGGCTTATATGCCCACAGTAGGTAGATCCTCTCTTTTGCAGTTCACTGCTAAAGGGACAGGACTGTGCCTTTGACACCAAGATCTGGGAATCATCAGTTGACACTAAAGATACTCCTTCTAGCAAACACCTGAAATCATCATCCCCTCCCACAGGTGGCCTAAACTTGTCTTCCTGCAGGAAGCTTCAAACATCAGAAACATCCAAGTTTCTTTTATTGTGCCTTGGTGGCCTGGGGTGGCTGTGTGAACTTCCCTTAGTGGAGGGATTATGAGTGAGGTGGAAAGGACAGAGCTTTACCAGTACTGGGAACCCTGGGTGGATGTATGGTAACAATGCAGAATATTCAGACTTCACCAGAGGATGTAAAGGGCATCCAATATCTGAGTAGTATTTAAATTACAATTCATAGTTATCTTCAATAATTCAAAATGAACATTCTTTTAGTATTTTGTAGACTTTTGTTTAAAGACTCTGAAAATTCTTTTGAATTTTTAAAAAAACTTTTTAATTGTGTACATTTAATTAATCTGAATGCTTCTACCAGAAAAACCCACCAGCCAACCACTGTATTCATAAATTACAAAGGGAAGAAAACAACAACAACAAAAGATGAATTTTTTATGAGTTACCTCTGCAACATCTTCAGCACTTTGTCCCAGGCTCTGAAAAATTTGTTTGTAATTTTTAAGGTAAATGTTAGTAAACATCTCAGCTGTTTCTTTATCTGCAGCTGAAAGATCCATTTTCATTCCATCTTCAAACACTTTTCTTTCAAACTCTGTAACCACTGGGCCTGGTTCAATCAAACTTAACCTGTTCAAAAAAAAAAAAGAGGTTAACTGGTTGTTGACTGTCCTCCAAGGAAAATACACCCTCAATTGTTCTCCAAAAAGAACATCGAAAAGTTGCACTAGCAAACAGTATGTAACAGTACTTTCTGCAAAGGCAATCCATACTGCATTACTGCTGCCCTGCTCCTTCTACCCATCCACATATAGTGATAGAAATCTGCATAGTTCAATTTTCAGAGAAGTGCTGTAACTTAATTCATGACATAAGTGAGTGCAGTTGTTACCTGCTGTCTCACAGCTGTGGAATCCAAGGGTGATTTATTCACAAGGACTTACCAGATAGTAAGAAAATTAATTAATGGATGGTAACAAAAGTCATTACTTTCTGGACCAAATCCTGCATAGGTTTCTTTGTTTCTAATTATAATACTAGAAGTAGCTGAAAGAGATAGGGGAATTGCCAGAACATGGATTTTCTTTTTCAAGCTGTTAGTGTTACATGATTTAAGATCCCACCACTATATAATAATAAAATGCAATACAGAGATTTTTATAGTGGGTGGACAGATTCTGGCTGCTGCCAAATCTCAAAGTTTTTATTTTGCCCAGTAGCATATTATAGCAAATCACTGAAATACAGCTACTGGTCAGATTTTTCCTGGTTCTTTTCTCAGGCAGTAATAACACCCAGCCACTGTGTTTATCAAAACATTCTTTGGGATTGGGCCTCTTACTGGACTTGAGTTCTTCAGGGGATGTTCTAAAGGCTCTTCTTCAGAACTAAATCAAGCTATTGACCTTCACAGCAGAATTCCAACTATTGCTGGAATTAAAGCCCTTTCTCTTGCATCACTCTTCCCATTAGACCTTGAATTTGTCTTATTATACTTCCTTTTATAACCTCTTTTTTACTGTGTCTTATACTCCTGCAATCTCATTATGAATTGTGGTATATCCTGTGTATTATTACATTTAGGTCCCTCCTAACTTTGCAGAGCAATATGCATAATCACACTTCGCTCTGAAATTCCACAACAGCAGCTGTCTTTTTCCTCGAGGCCCAAATGCTTAGATACACAGAGATGCAATGGACACTTACCAGTTATTGGAGTTTGCACCAAGAATAGTAGCAGAATTGCATGAGTATTACATGTGAATTACATGTGACAAATCAAACCCGAAGTCCCACAGATGAACAGGATGGGTCTCCTAAATACTGTGTAAAATGTTAGGAATAGTACACCACACTTCTCACTTTCCTCCCACCCCCCTTCATTACAGGTATCTCACCCTGTAACATTCTGATGGATTTGCACTTGCTCAGTCTCTCTGATAAGCCCTTGAACTTTTTAACCTGTGAATTGCCTAAGGCCATTATCCTTTCCAAGGGGAAAGATCACAGGTCAAAGTTATAATTTTACTCCTGTGATACTGTAGGTAAGAATCTGTTTTCAGAAGCATTGCATGAAATGTATTTTATCCAAAGCTAACTAACCATTAACTGTTCAAGAGAACATGTTTATTTGAACATCTAGATCTTTTTATTTGCTTACATAATGTGAAGGGTGTGGGCATTTCTATGCCTTTTGTGATGTACAGTTTTCAAGGGCTTCTCAGTCTGTTTAGCAGCAAGCTTTAAAGATTTTTTTCCTACCTCTGAATGTATTTTAAACTATCTAAAATACAATTGACACAAGTGGATCAATATCATTTACACCAGTGGATCAATGCCATTTACACCAGTGGATCAATACTTACTGCAGTTTGAACTTGAGTGCTTGTATAGCTAAACTTTCGCAGAATCCTTCCACAGCAAACTTAGATGCAGCATAAACATCATTAAATAAGATGCCTGATGGTATAAACAAAACATCCTGAGAATGTGATTTTATCCAACATACTAATAGTTTGATTTGAAAAACTCGCGTGTTTTCCCAAAATTTCTACAGTCATGCTGGGAAAACACTAGAAAAACCCTTGAATACACTGAATCTAAATACAAATTTTGTTCTCAAAATTGCTTAGTCTAGCAAAGATGCTTGACTAATGCTTTTCCTCCCCCTAGCTGATGCTGTGGTCTCCTTGGATGATACTATTTTGTAGTCTAAGATATGAAAGTGTCTGTAAATATAATACCATCTGCATTATTTATCAGCAAGACTTTAATAGGCTCTAGATGAACACAGAGGTTGAGTGTAATGCAGGAGATACAATTATGCAAGAGATCCAGCTTGCATCTGAGTGATTTAGAAAAAGCACTACATCAATCCATTGAGGTGGAGAGTGTTATATTAAAACACCAATTCTTGGAGTTTCATGGAGGACCCTTGCTCACCAGAATAATCCAGATAAGATCAATGTCACAGTTGTAATAAATTAAAAAAAAAAAGCTAGACAGGATGGGCTATAAGAGTAGGAATATCATTATCTGTCACTAAAATTCAACTCTCGAGTGTTGTGAGAAGAGAAACCTTACAAAAAGGTGGCACAGTTGTCCAGGATTGGATTTTATTCTACTACTACTGTGCAGAGCGTAGCAAGCACGTTTGTCTGTTCCCATAATTTTTTTCCAAGAGGAAAGAGAAAAGTAATGCTAAGCCCTATTTTGCAGATAATAAAAATACAACAATAAATTTTATAAAAATTATACTGTTCAAGTTAAAACTCTAAAAAAAATTGCCCTGCAGGTTTTGTTATTAAAATGCTGTGAGAGTTGCTGTGTAATAACAAAATACCTGGATGCATAAAACCCACCAGGTACTTTTTATAGTTGGAACTTCAGCATTACAAAGAGTCAAATATGCCAGCTCCTAGTTTTTGTTTTTTTTTTCTAAAAGGAGGAAAGCTTTGGATTTTGAACACTGAACTCTTAGTTCAAGTAAACAGGAAAACCAACTTTACCTTGTATTCCCATAACACTGCTTATTATAACTATATGCCCACTCTTTCTCCTCTTCATGTCAGGCAAGATCTCCTTCAGGAGTCGAACCAGGCCAAAGAAGTTGGTGTCCATCACAGTTTTCATTTCCTCAATGCTCTGACATTCAATAGGTCCAATGAGCCCCATTCCAGCATTGCTCACTGCACAAAATGGGAGACAACAGCAAGCAAAAACATCCATAAACATAAACTTGCAATCGTTACTGGAAAGCATTTGAAAGGAATGTGAGGATTAAAGCTTAAATTATCCTAAATACTCCTTAAAGAAAGGATTAAAAGATGTTAGTCACTAGAGTTTTCCAAATACATTTGACATTTCCATATGTCTTTATTTTTAATTCTGCTTTTAATGAAATTTAAATTATCTGCTATTTTTCATTTTTTATTAATTTGTTCCTGATTAGTGCTTTTTAAAAAAAAATATAAAGGGATTACAGGAAAATGAGTCAAGAATTACTTGTATTTTTTTTATAATTCACTATTAAGAATCAAAAGCTACAGTCAGTATCCATAGAAATTAATAGAAATCTTAAAAAACGTGATAGACCAAGCCATATTTTGGTCTATTTTTTTTGTTTTATTGACATTCATGTACCTTCAAGAGGAAGTAACCCCCCAACAAAAGAAACAAAACACACAATTCCATTGATTTTTATTTGCCTCCTGGATATTTATAAGTGGGGAATGATGATATGACTGGCATTCTCCTCTAGAAGGAGTACATCAAATTGGAGTATAATAAATTCTGCAGAAATAGTTGTTAAGCACTGCTTTAATAATTAATCAGAAAAAAGCCAAGTCCATCATTTTCTAGTAGGTAAGATTTAATAGCTGATATAAGCATTTCCACTAAGATACTAATATTTATTTTTAGCAAAACAATATGAAAACACTTGTTGCTGAATTATTTGTAAAGTACAATTTTAATTCTCAATACAAAATGGATATATCCCTATTGTTTTTTTGCATTTGTTCTTTTACTTGCTAATTCCCAATGCTACTGCTTTCTTAGTACAGACAGGTGTTACCTTCATTGTAAAAAGGGCTCTGCTTCATAAATAAGGTGATGCCAGTTTAGACAAAATTTCTCATATTTACTAAAAAAAAGTATGGTTTTACCCAAGGCACCTCCCTGTGATCAAGTTTCTCCTTTGTAAACAGGGAAAACAAGCTACCCTACTTCATGGAAGCAGGGTAAGATTTAATGCACTACACTAAATATACTATGTCACTATTTTTACTTTGATAATTTAAAAAATACACTAACAAAACTTCTCCAGGGTATTTGAGACAATGTTTTATAGAAATCTGGTATCTGTTGATAGCACACACATCCTGTACTTGCCCAGGACATCAATCCTTCTGTCAGGGATACTATTCACACAGGTTTTAATAGACTGTTCATCACAGACATCCAGTTGTTTAATCTCGAGGGTTTTGCCCAGCCTGTGACCTGCAGCTTCCTCCAGTGGCTCTTTCTTGGCCAGGTTCCGCATTGTGGCAAACACTGCAACACACCAGAAATAAAATCTTCACTGTGGCACTTGTACAGAGAGGTATTAAAGGACAATACTTTTATATGCAGGACTTAATACAGAAATGAGATAAAAACTAAAAGTTAAAGGATTCTATTTTGAACATACATTGTCACTAATTTCCCAGTCTGGTTCTGAAATCCTCGAGAAATTCAAAAGAATTAAACAGCTTTGTCTAATGAAGAACATGGAGTGTAGAAAGCATAATACAGTCACTAAAATTTAAAAAACTGGGTGTTACATTATGCCACTAAACCGTTTTTAGGTACCCATAAACTAATTCTGGATTCCATATTTCCTGGATTTTCACTGTATTTTCTTGACAGTAGAAGAGGAAAACAAACCAAAAATGAGTCGCCAAACTGAATAAAATCACCTGTTAAATCACAGACAAAAAAAACCAGCACCATCTCAAACAGTATGTTTCTGTAAAGATAAAGAACAGATAGATTGTTACCTTTAAATCTTTTCTGTTCATCTTTTGCCATTTTTACAGCTAATGCCAGTCCAATTCCGGAGGAGCAACCTGTAATGAGGACATTTCTTCTTGCCATTCTCTTCACTGAGTGGTTCAATTCTTCAGAGGAGCCACAACGTAAGTGTAACCACAGCATAATGTGAGTGGCCTTTAATACTATCTCCACCTTCCCTGAATCAACAAATCTGAAAATGCTCACCTGGGCGTTGCATGATTAAGGGATAATCTTCAACTAAACAAAATAGAAGCAGATGCTCCTACATGTGCTTATAATCTGCATTATCAAAACTGATTAATACAGAATTTGATTTAATCTATAAACCAAGGTACTTGTAAACTACATGGATTGTTTCTAATAGAATAACCAGCTTACACAGTACTGGCAGGAAAAGCCTTTCCACAATTACAACTGGTCTGCAATGCTAAGTCCTCCACTCACATCTATGGAAAGTAAACTGCACTCAGAGTGGGAACCCTCTGCTAAAGCTCTTCAGAATTTCTACACCTACAGCATTCTCCTGGTTCTTTTACAACAGACTATGGAACAGATTTCTTCCCTGATGACTTACTATTGTAACAGTCTTAATAGGCATTAGAGAAAAAAAAAAAAAACAAATTGCAAAATGGGATGTGGATTCTGAAAGAGACAAATTGTTGGACAGACTCCTCAGATTTCCTTTTGGCAGTGTTCCCAACCAAGAACAGAGAAAGTCAGCAAGCATGCTGCAGTGGAGAGCTGACAGAAAATGTTGAACAGACCAGTTTCATTACATTCTTGCCAAGACTGAAATCTCCTTCAACACTTCTGATTCTGCAATTGACATGACAGAAATTTTAAAAAAATAAGAACTAGCCTGATGTCTATGTTTTGGAGAAAATATTTTACATTTACACTGTGGATTAAAAAGAGGGGCATTTGAGCTGGCACTTCAGTGCAATTCACGTTTAACATACTGTAACTGTAGGTATACTACATTCAGGAAGAAAATCAGTCCCTTGTTTCTGTCCTGAGTGACAGGAAAAAGAAAGACTTTAATAAGCAATTAGCCTTATGAACAGCATTCAGCTAATTGCAACGCCATTAGACACAGTGAAATGTTTTTCAAGACTCAACAACCCCATATAAATGCAACACACTCCAGAAGAATGAACTTAGTGTTCCAGGATGTAAATTGATTAGTAACTCAAGAAAAGTAGGACACTACAGAAATATTTAACTGAAATTATGTTTTTAAAAAGTCCATCCTTTCCAACAGAAATAAACTGGCTTGAACAGTATAAGTGGAATCCTTAACTTTTCAGGCGAGCAACAAAATAGCAAAACATCCAAAGATAAAATATAATTGTGATTCTTCTTATTTATCAGGTTTGACCCACAGTTTAACCAGATAAGATAGTATACAGACAAAATTTCAGTGCAAATGCTATTTAGCTGATTCAGAGATTAGGCAAATTGCTTTTGCTGTTCATGCACATTTATATTTAGTGCATGTAGGAGGAGCAAATGAGGCTTTATACAGTGCTAGTTAGTAGAATTCCATTAGTGTTGTGATGCAGCTGTAATTAAGGATTGGTTATATTTTCCACTTGAAATCCCAGTTTAAAGGGCTTATGTATTCCACTGCTTTAAAAAAATCTGTCTGAAATTTGATGCATACACTTATAGGCTGAAGGCAAAGTGATGTGCATAAAGAGTTAAAAATAAAAATAGTTTAATTTGCAATTATTGCACCAGTCAACCTAATTCTAAGATTTTTCCCTTTACAGTTATGTAGAGAAAGAAGTAACTTGATTTAAAACACAGTGTACTTATTTGTGTAAGTAACAGTGGTTTTTGTCACATCATAATTTTAACAATATCAGAATAAATAATCTGAAACTTCAGAAATACTTTGGACGAGTGTATCTTGAATTATCAATGGTAGCAGAATGTGTGGCTGGTTTTGTAGAACCACTTAATTTGGACCATGTGGCATTCATGGAACGTGTTTACATAAAGTGAAAGAGCCAGTACTGCCCAAGGAGTTCAGCAAACTGCCACTTGCAGAGTTTTTGGATACCTCAGGTTTGTTCGCTCAGACAAACTTTTAATATACAAAACACTTAACTGAGGCCTGGTACTCAAACTGAAATACATTCAATTATTTTCCTCTTCTTTACATCAAATAACTTTAGTAACTTGATTTCTGAAGTATGAATCACATGTCTTAATGCACATAAATCATGTGTGCATTAATCAGAATTAGTCTGAGGCCTCAAAAGTACATTTACAGTTTCTGATGCTCTTGTAAATATAAAAGTGGGGCCACTAGCCATTTATACCAACTTAATGTATGTAGTGTTGTACTTTTGGAAACCTGGAAATAAATATGTTTCAGAATGCATAGTTATGATGTGAATTTAATCAGTGGGAATTTTTGTATGTTTTTTGTTTGATTAAAAATTTCAAAAGAAAAAACCTCAAGGTTTATGGCCCTGTCCCACAACCCTGTGCATCTTAAAGATACTGCTTGGAGTAAAGCAAGCAGGTTTTGCCAGTGTCTATGATCAAATCAGTGTCCCAAAACATCTTACAAACAGGTAAATTTTAATAATATGTTGTGTCTGCATCACTGCATTTGTACAAAAAAAGATAAAATAGTCCCAAACAAAAATTGCTAATAAGGTAGTACCATTCTGCTATTAGTTAGAAGTGAGACATTAAACAAGCACATAATTTAAAAATCTTTGAAAAAGATGAAAGCTGAAATTAATCCCTACACCTTAAAATAAATACATTTTATTCTGAAATATAAAAGATAAATTAATATGTTATTATATGAAGGCAATAATAACAATTGGAAAAATAAAAAGGTTGTCATCTGCTTCAGTACAAATAACTACATGCCTTATTTACAAATACAACTTTAAAATGTCCTCTTTGAATGCAGTCACAATGGCAGCAACAGCATTCCTGGGTTGCTCCTTGTCCAATGGGCAGCAGCAGTCATTCCTTCACAGTTCTCACACCTGAAACAAAATATATGATTGCCATATCTAAATCCATTTGTACCAAGATGTTACTTTTCATTATTAAACTTTATCTTACAAATTCAAGAAAACTAACAGCAGATCTCAAGTCCATGGCTGCAATCTCAAATTCTGATTTATTTATTAATGCATTTTTGTTCACTGTTCTTGTAATTGAAGTGCATTTGCTTTCTCAAGGTGCACAACTTACAAATTTTCCAATACCATTCTAAGTTCCAGCAGATAAGAAGGAAAACATTATGCAGAATATTTCTGAGAAAAAATCTTCATATGCAAATCCCTGTAAAAATTTTGTACAGTTTAAATGAGCACTGTCTTTTGAAATAACTCCTATGCATGAGGCTTAAGGTTTCATGTTGGATTGCATTGTTGTTCTTAAGTTGCTGACAGTTCAGGAAGTGTCTCATCAACAGTATCAAGACATCAAGAGAAAAAAAGCCTATGATGTCCACCAACACCGAGCAAAAAAAATAGCAAAACAAATGTAAGATGTATATAGAAGTAAATGCAGCCAAACAGCATGTTTGAGGATAGGGGGTTTTTGTTAGTTTCTAGAGCTTTACTACCACTACCCCTACCCCTCCTTTTAAAAACAAAGGAATATGCTGGATCTAATTATTCATTTATGGAAAAAAAAATAGAGTTTTAGGTGTCTTTAGGATATGATACACAGCAGCCATGTTTAACATTAGCTAGTGCTGGAGCACCACAAGAGACTATCAGCCACTACTGTTTCACATCATATTATACTAAGGTTCCTGTTACTTATAAATCTAAAAAGATGTCATGCTGGTTCTGTTTATCTATCCATGCTTAGCTAGGTATTTATTCTTTATGAGGAATGCTATACATACTGTACAGAAACACTTGTAAGTAGCATATAAGCAGCTTACAGCTAACAAATGAAAGATTAGTACAGTAATTCCTAATTTTTTGTGCTATGCACAGTTTTTAAAAAATGTTGAAAAAATCACTTTTTAAAAAAGTCAGTCATTGCAAGAACTAATTTTTTTCTTACTTCATTTGAATACAATTTTACTTCTCATTTCAGAAGGAACTATGGTCACAAAAAATTATTTTGCTGTAACTCCAATCTGCCTTTTTTTAATAAAGAAAATTATTTCAATTTCCCAGAAAAAACTGAAAAAAGCCATTCTTAATATTCAGCGAGATATTTTCAGTTACTTTATTTGGAATATTTACAGTTTCTAAGGGTAGCCGAGTGCTGTATTTTTGCAAAATCTTCACTGCAAATTGAAGCACAGTAAGAAAAAAGAATGATTCAATTGAAAACTCTGTGACCTGGTTATTTTATGAGTCCCAAAGGGACAGAGTGGACCAGAACACAAATCAACCCTCCCAGCAATTCCTTCCCTGAACTAATATATTTTCTGTAATAAGCAAAGAAGGCAATCTATTAAGAAGAAAAAGAATGAGACAGACTGTACCCCTGGGCAAGACATACACACTGCCTATCCACCTCTTTCCCCTAAATAGATTAGGCAATTTATTTTGTAGAACTAGGACAGAAAATTTCTGTGGAAGTCTGGTCAATCTGTCTGCAATGTGTTACAAATGGAGAAAGTGTTTTCTTACATTATGTTAATATACTTCATTTTTAAACAAAGAAGGAACTACATAATATTCTACATGGAGTCAGAAGCCCTCTACAACATATTTCATGGTTTACACAGAACGCTTCCAAAATCCAGTGTTTTTTTATCTACTACACTACAATGGAAATAAAATTTCATTTCCTTATCCCATGTCTTGGAAGGAACATGACCAGAGCAGGTCTATTTTCAAAACTTTTCTTACAGCATTCTTAGGCCTCCTCCTATCTGGTATTCCTCAGCAAAAACAAGACAATTTGTCTGGAAAGAAAGAGTCTAGTGAGCAGTTGTACAGGGGCTAGCTGTTTCAATTCTTTCTTTCAGAATCATCCCTTAAGAAAAGTTAGAAATGGTTTATGATATGTGTGAAAGTTAGCAGCAGTCACTGTCCTGTTCTTGAGCATTATCAATAATCTAACAGAATTCAAGATGGAAGAGCTGACGTTGCTTTAATTTGCAGTGAAAGAACCTTCATATTCACCTGTGACACAGCCAAGCCCTCATGATCTAGAACACAGACCAAAGGCCTTTGGGGCTCCCACAGAAATGAGGTTTCTCTGATACCTCACCCTAGGGAAACAAACATATAAATGCAGCACAACCAAAGTGGCAGAGGCCATCTTGGCTTTGGTGTTTAGCTCTAGCTTGGAAACATGCTTGACTTAACTTATATCTGCAGAAAGCCTGTTTCCTTCAGATCCCATTTGTCCTTGTAGAGACTGATTCATGCACCAAACCAAAGATTTGCATAATTCACAAATTATTAGCTGTCTTCTTGAGTCCCTCCACAAGCCCCCATTCACTATGCCAAAAAATTCTCACTTCTCCTTCCTACAAGCATGCTATAGCTTAGTGGTCTTTGATGCAATAATTTTCACAAGATGGGTACCTAAATCATAAGAAGCTCTCATCATACAGCATTTTGCTTTGTTTCATTTCAAGGAAATGCCAGAAAATCAGGTCCCTAAAGATAATCAGTAACCAAATTTCTCCACAGAAAACAGACAATGAAGAGTTTACCATTAAATCTATAATTTTAAAAGTATTAAACTAGTTTCACTTTAGGGGATAAAGAATACAATGATTCTGGGAGAAGTAATGACACACTAAAGAGACACCATATAATTTCTTCTAGGCAGTACAGTAATGGCATTAAAAATTGGTAATTTGTTGTCTATCCAAAGTATGCTTTACCTTCCCAAGAGTTTCCAGGCTATGTTGTTTTCTTTCATTTTTTTCTCTTCAGCTGATTTATTTCCTGATCTCTCTGGAGCAATTCAAACTCTTTTTCACGAAGCTCATCTTTAGAATGCTGGAGTTTCTTCTCTAAGCTCTCAATCTGAACAGAAAAGGCAATTAAATCAGAACCAATATTTTACCAAAGTCAGAACAATTTTATTAAAAAAAAACCAAACACACAAACCAAACAAAACCCCAATATTGTAACTATTAACCCTGACTTTGGATTCCTCTGTCAATTTTTTATTTACATTTTCCTTTACTAAAAGAACAGTTTGGGAGCTGTATCATATCAAATGAAAATCAGTTTTCGTTTTTGCACTGTTATAGCCTTACAAAATTTATAGTTTTAATTGATAAACATCTATTTTTACTGACATTCCTTCCCTCTCCCTACAATAAAAAAGTTTTTATATTCTAGATTAAATGTGGCCAGCTATTGTGTCCCAAGACCTTTTTAGGGAAATTGTGGTTTTGATTAAGAAGAATTACCTGTTTATTGCATTCCTTAATTTCCAACTCTGACTTCTCTAAATTACACTGTAATTGAATTATTTGTTGCTCCATTTCTCCCTTATGCTCACGAACTGCCATATCCAATTGTGTAATCTAGAGGTAAAAAATGAAGAAAAGGAAATATTTTATTTTGAACTAATATGTAGATTTTAAGAAGTCATATTACAAACTATGAGAGCAAAGTGAATGAAATTAATCCTTTGTAGCCTCAAGAGTATTCTCTTGAGCAGTCAATATAAAGCTATGCCCTAGCTATTCCAAAACTGTTGGAAAAGTCCATAACTGAATATGTTAGGTCTTCATATACACATAATGCAAACCTAGTTATCCTTTTCAAAGGATACTTTATCACTAAGAATCTTGGGACAGGTTATGGCATAAGGCTTCTGATTTTCCTGGTACATAAGGTTTAAAAAACATACAGTGGGTTTGAGGTTAGCACTGTGGTTGTAGGAACCAGTTCAGTTTGAGACAATATATCAAAGCAACCAAACCTAGTTATCTCCTATATAACAGGAATAATTGTCAGTAACATGCTTAAAAATTATCTCACCTGAGCTACTCTTTGTTTCAGTTCCCAATTCCTTTCTTTCAGTGCTTGGTCCATGTCAAGGAGTTCCTGCTTTTTGTCTTCAATTTCATCCTTACAATACCTGAAATTCTCATACATTTAATTGCTTAATGCATATTTAGTTGCTTAGCTTCAAATATCCAGCTTGAAAATCATGAGATCTATTACTTACTTACACCATATTACCCTAAGGGTGAATTGATTGCAAGGAAACAAACCCAAATAGATTAATTCTGTTAATTATATTCCAGGTGGGGGAATTCCTAATAACTTCATTATTCAAGTTATTTAATTGGCTATATCAGGATTCTTTAAAAAAGAAAGTATAATTAATTTGTGGTCAGGAAGGAAACTGGACAATTTGACTATTCTTATGATTCCTTCACAGCTTTAAGATTCCAAAAAAAGATTTTAAAACAGAATTCATCAAAAATAAATCAGTACATTTAGAAATTAAATATGAGCTGAGGATCTCAAGTATCAAGTTATCTGATGGCCACAAACCACCTAAAAATTATAGAGAGCTGCTAAGAACATTTAAAAATCCCATCCAAACTATTTGCTATTCTTAAAGAATAACCAACATAGATTAGTTTTCATGAAAAGATACCAGCTCACCTGAGCTCAGTTGTTAGATCCATGATAGCAATGTTCTTCTCCTCCAGAGAGGACTGTGCATTCTGTAATGCACCTTGCAACTCCTGAAGCTGTGTTAAAGTGATCTTTAATTCCCCACAGGCATTCTGCAATGCAGATTCCAGTTCTGCTATTTTCTGTAAAGCTTTCCTGTGGCAAGTCTCACTTTGAAGCAGCTTATCTTCAAAATCATTCACTATTTTACACACACACCACAAAAGAGAATGTTTAATCATCAGTACATCAGGGTCTTCATGCAACATCTAGCAGCACTTGTGGTCATAATAAATTGTCAGTATCACTATTTTTTAGGACAATCTAGAAAAATAGTGAGTACTTATACAAAAAAAATGTTTATGGTACCTAAGTATTTGCTAATTTTGTTCAGTTCATAATCAACAATTGACCTGAAACATAAGGATATATCTAAAAACATCTGGCCAAGGAGACAGTACAGACACAGTAACTGACCATGTAGTGCTAGGAAAAGAGCAAGCAGAATGGCTTAAAATAATGGTACAATTAAACTAAATGGAAGATGATGGATGGCAATGTTTGTTATTTCCACAGACTTGTGGGGTTTTCTGTTTGCTTCAAAGAGCTGCATTTTTTGAATAGCATATGCCTTTATTAAAGCTAAGTGCCTCATATGACTATTACATTATTAATCTGCATTACCAATTTACATGAAAACTACTTAGTATTTCACCTGGGGTGAAGGTATATACCACAAAAGTGAGAATTTGCAAAAGTATCTGAAAAACGTTTGTGATTTTTTTGGGTTGTGGGGGTATTGTTCATTTGGGTTTGGTTTCGTTTGGGTTTAAGATTACCAGTGTTTGACCCCCATGTACTTGATTATGAAAGGGGGGAAAGGAAAAATGTCTAAAACATACAGAGGAATAGTTTAATGAAAGGAAGCCTGAGGAAAAAAATAGCCAAATTACCCTCATTTGCCTTTCTATTGAGCTCTGATCTTGCTTCTTCCAGAGTGATATCCAACTGATTTATCTGCAGTGCTTTGTTTGCACCATCTCGTTGTAATTGCACTATTTCTTTTTCCATGCCAGTAAGTTCATTCTTGCACTGATCCATCTCCAATTTAATCTGTCTAATAGAAGCAACCAGAACAAAATGAGCCAAGGAATAACAAGAGCAACACGCTCTAAGACAAGTGTTTGTGAATAAAATAGAAATAAAAGTCATGTTAAGTAAGCTTTTCTTGTAATCAAAACTATATTATTTAAGACTAGCAAGCTCCTGTAGAATGTACTATCTATAATTACAAGCAAGCTCATATGGTTATGATTTAAACTGCTTTATGAAGTGCTATCTTAAGGCTAAGTAGGTTGCCAGGACATGCATTAATTCCATTGGAAAACTGTTCCAGAAAGTCATGCCTCTGCTAGTCAGAAGCTTCCCTTCTGATTTCCAGTCTATGCTCACAGAGAGACTGAAGTGTAAGCCCACAGCTGAACACCATTTCAGACAGCAAATGTTCTAAGCCATATGCCCATGTGCAGAATACTCCTCTCATTTATACTAAACCTACCTTATTGTACAATTCAGTTCATCCACCTTCTCTCTGTTTAAGTCTGCTTCCTGAGCAGCTAGGCACAGTTTCTCCTCCACCTTTCTCAACTCATCTTCTGCACATGCTTTCTGCTTCTGAAGCTCTTTTTCCAAATTGGATACCTATTGAAAATGGCATTTAAAGAGTAGTTTCAAATTGCATACCAAAGAAATACTCATTCTTGTCTTGCAACTCACATAAGGAGAGTTTTTACACTATAGATTTCTTTATAGTCTGTATGTAATTTAAAACTAAAACTCTGCACATTTGAAAGACAAATAGTTTCTAGTAAATGTAACAAGATGCAACTTTCCAAATTTAAATGCACCTATACTTATCTGCAGTCTAGGGCTTGATTTTCCAAATACCTAGCCACTCTAATGCTAACTAGAATTTTTGATAGCTCAGAAGCTGGATTAAGATAAAACAAGCCACTAAACTCTTTATTTTAGATATATCAAATAATAATTATCAACTCAGTTATCAAAGAAATATTCAGGTTTTATAGGTATTATGAAAACATATATAAGGCACTTAATTTTCTCTATATATGTAGATACTTCTCATCATACTGTACCTGTTTTTCAAGTTTAATTTGAGTATCTTCCAACTCCCCATTTCTAATAGTTTCTTGCTGTAACATTTGCTGCTGATGATGCAAAGTTTGTTGCAGGAGAATATTTTGTTCACTCATGTCCTGAATAGTCTGACCTTTAATTTTTATTTCTTTCTGTAAATAATGAAGCTGAAAAGACATTTACTTTCCATTAAAATAAAACATTTTTATTTGCAGTTGTGTCAGCTATTCTCTCTTAATGAACACAGAATCACACTTGTGATGCAATAAAACTTTTGGGTCTGAATATAGTTGCATTACAGTTTCAACAGTATATAACAGATCTCATAATTCATCAAGTTATATTCTAAACAGTGAAGAAAGTAGTAACTTCTCAGTCAGTCCCAGGTTTTAATTCTTGCTTTCTAAATAGAACTTTTCAATATTTTAAAAACATATATGGCAGACTTTTAGTTAGATCTACTTTTCTTTCTGCCAGTCTTTATTTTTCAGAAAGTCCTTCTTTTCCCCTTGAGATTTTGCTCTCAGTCTTCCCCTTTATTTCTTTTTGCCTGTATGACAATAGTCATTCCAATAAAAAAAGGAATTTTGAGTGTCTAACTTGTTTTATGTTGACTAATCTGGTTTCTCAGTGGTGAATGCCAGAGGGAACTCTTCTGGGAAAAAAAAAAAAAGTGGGGGGGAGTGTTCTTGAAAAAATAAAGCCTCACTTGCTACTCTCGATGTCTCACACAGGATCCAGTCCCTTCATACGCAGTATAGGAAGAACAGGGTTTAGGGCTTAGGAAGCAGCAGTAAATATCACAGGTTCATGTCTGACACAGACCACACAACTTCCATCAAGCCAGTCCTGTACAGGGTCCAGCAACCTCCACTTGACTAAAGCCTCTCTCAGCAGGTAGGCCAGCACTGACATGATCAGCCTACTATATAATTAGTTCACCCACAAATAAAAATTCCTTCAAATATTTAAAGTTAACTCTTTCTAGCTTTCAAGCAGTAGTGGAAAGTATGATAAAACTCAGGGTCTAGAAGTAAACATTTTTTATGCCCAGAACTTCTTCCCCATTAAGACAGCTAAAAAACAGATCAATTTTGAGCACTTAAATTTATATTACAATAGTGCTCTCTCCATTTTTCCCATGATAATGTTTTGTTTCACATTATTCTGATTTTGTTACTTCTTTCAACAATTCATTTATCTAAGTGCTTCTTTTCCCTTAACTTACCCCATGTTTCTGAGTTATGATTTTCCCCTTTACCCTCACAAAATGTATAATTTCATCCCAGCTTACTTCCCATCCACGTGTGCTGTTGGAAATTTTGGCTGTCATTTTACAAACTTTTAGATTAAATCAATCATAACAACAGTTCTGTCCAATACAGAGGAGTTATAAAACAACCTGTTACCTCTTCAGACCTTTCCTTCAGCTGATTTTCAAACAGCTCCTTATTTTCTTGTGACTGACTCAAATACAGTGCAACTTCTTCCTTACATACCTTTAGTGCTGACTCAAGTTGTCGTACCTAGGTGAATGGAATAGATCATTTAAAACTGCATGGCATGGTTTGTATTAACTGGTCTAAGAATTGTATTGAAAGACAGCCTTGTGTAAAACATCAGAAAAGCTACATTTTTATCATATGAGTATTAAAACAGTCATGGAAGATTATAGTAAACTTTAAAACTGAAATAGTCTTCAAAAATTGAAAGTATTTGTGAAATTAAAAGTTGTACTTTAGACTGTGTTTATATTAGATGAGACTATCGGTTATGAGAAGATATGCCAGCATTTGTCAGAAGCTAGAATTAAAAAACAAACAGAGGGTCAATCCCAAATCATGAATCCGTCATGTTTCATTACATATAGAACTGCATAAATAAATATGGAATTATCATCATAGGTGAGTTGGCACACATGTTTTTAAAAAAACCACTCAGATCTTACTAAAATTATTTTCAAAAAATTACCAAGCAGCATGATTTCCCTTTCTGCACTGGGGGACAGCGCCTGAATTTCACGAAATGGGAAAGGAAGAGCTTTGAGCAGTGTCAACACTGTCAACCTATTTTAGACTTTTAATGCTCATTTGGATTTGAGTAATCTCTTACAAATACCTTATAACCTTGAACTGATGAAAATTATAACAAACTCTGAGATCTTAAGGCATAGTAATTAAGCTTTTCTTAAACATTTGGTTTCAATGCTAGGATTTCTCATCAATGAGAATTGTGCTGAATTTAACTGCAGATTTTCTTAGTTCTTTCAATTTTGCAATCAGACTGCCAGTTTTCTAAACTATACTGGATACTGGATTCTGTATCTCTGTCTTCAGCTGATTCAAGAGGTTTTTGGAGAGAAATTACTGTGTGTCTTAATATTAAGTCTCTGGAAACCATCCCAAATACTGCAAAGACACTTGGATAGCAAATTGATCCTACACAAGCTCACAAAAAGCATGAAAACAGCAAAGTCCCCAGTACATCATGAAGATTTAATACTTGCCTAGGGTAAATCCACACATGGCACTGGTTTATTAAAATCCTGTTACAAGTGTTGCATGGAAAATGTTTATCAGGCAAACACTAGGAAGAGCTAAAGATGGCTAAAACCATGATCAACATTACAAGTATCACATATGTCTAAAAGACATGCCATATGTAGACCAAAAGCATATATAACATTAGCTCTATGAGACAAGGTTGGACTTTAAGAGTACAATAAGCACAAGTTTGCCCTATTTGTAACTACAGTAATTGCATTAAGCAATTATGCATTGCATAATCTCTTACTGTAGGTTTCACCATACTTATTTTAATTAAAAAAAGAAAACAAATTAAAATGAAACAGATAAAAAGTAAATGCTTCAGATAAATGACTTCTGGAATATTTACTTTAAAAAATTAATTATATATTTAAATATATTAATTAATATAAAATAGTTCTTCTATTAAAGAAAAGGAAATACACTGTTACTGTAAACTTTTAAACTATTACTTGAACATTACAGAGATCTTACTAACTTTGAGTTTTTCTTCTGTTAACTGACTTTCCAGCATCTTCAGTCCTTGATCTTTCTTGACATTTTGATTTTCCATTTCCTGTTTTTACAGATATTTTTATTCAAGAGAGCCAAATACAAATATTACATAACATTAACCTAATGTTATAAAGTTATAAGTAATTTAATAAAAACTCAATCAGATTCAGGAAAAAAATGCAGATCAGTGTAACTAAACACAATTGCTTGCATAATGTATTTGTGTACATAAACACTGAGTGAATTTAGTTGCTGAGAGATGTCTCTTCATATTCTGCAGCAGCAGGCATTATAAAAAGGAATAAACTATTATCATGCTAGAACATTGGTTTTCTACCTAGTGCAGGATTGGTGCAATCATTCTTTATCCAGATCTCTTTCCTTTCATTAGAGAGAGAAGCCCAAGGGGTAATCCAGAGGCATAAAGAGAATGCTAAGACAGAAAATACTGAAAGGTCATTAAAATTTGTACAATACATAGTAGTAGCAGTAATTGATGTTAACAAGAATTAAGACGCAAAACCATAAACATCTTTCATTATCCCAAATTTTTCCATGTATTTATGCTTTCCATTATTTTTAGTCACTTGCTTGATTTGCATTTAAAGAAAGTCAAGAGCCAGCCTTACCTCTCTGTTTCCTATTAGCAGCCCATCCAATGATTCAATGTGATGCTGTTTGTGTATAACCTCTTGTTGTAAAATAGATATTATTTTATCTTGTTCAATTAATTGTTGCTGTTTCTTCTCCAGCTGTGTCCGAAGCTGTCCATAAGTAAATAGCAATTTATTATTTTAATAAAAATGTATTAATCCAAATATGTGATTCAGTTCTATTCACTCATAATTTTTATAATGAAAATTAAATACATTACTGCCATCAGCAGTATTGCACAGTCTAAAAATTATCAAGAAATCCCAAGCACTTAGTATCTTAATTCCAGAGGAGAATGAGAGCAGAGTGCAATTGTCTGTCACCAGCCAAGACAATAAGACATGCATACATTCTTTACTAAAAGATGAGAAGTTTTTTAAACAGCTAGAAATAATCACAGTTACATTTCTAATCACATAGAGAAATATTTCTTCTCTAGAGACTGAGAAACCTCCAACAGTTCTCCCTGAATGTAGATGTTCATAAGGCTCAATTTGGCAGAGGTTCAGGCAATGAGAACATTTTTTGAAGCTGTCATGCTTTAAACCCAGTAGGCACTAAAGCTATACTTTTTTTTTTTCCTATGTGTTTGGAGCAAAGAAACACAGTATTTTTCCTAAGTCCTTATTTCTCTTCAGCTAAGCAGGATATGAATATTTCAGAGGGAAAGTAGTATAGCTAGTTAGATGGAAAATGTAGTAAAATCAGGAAATGTAGGGAGAAGAAAGATCTTTTTACATACTTTTTTAATAGCTGTGTCTTGAAATTACAAGACAAATTAATATACGAAAAAGTTACCAAGTATAACACTCATACATACTGCCACACAATAAAGGTCTTACTAGAGCAATTTGTTTCTCCATTTCTTTGTGCTGCTCGAGGTGAAGCAACTTTTCATTTTCAAAAGCAGAAGTTATTTTCTCATGTTCTTCACTGATAGTTGTTTCCAGCTCATGAATGCATCTGTTTTTTCCCTGGGAAGTGGCAACAATAAAAGGACTTAATAAAAACATTTAGCTGTGATATTAAGTTATTTGGTCATCCGGTTTCAAGATTTCATAAAGGAACAACAAACAAAATTCTGAAGTTACACAGAGTGTGTGTCATCTCAAAGGACATCACACTTATACCACAGGTACAGAATTCAGTAAATGCAGCCACTAGAAAGACAAGGTGTCTGCCAAGATGGATTATGGCACAGATACCTCCTGACAAAGACAAAAAGAAATTCTATGTTCATATACACAGATGGAATCTTTAAAATACCATTTTGAAGACTTCTTATCTTACAAATCTACAGGTATTTCACTGAAAAAAATGGCAATTCAACAGGGCCAGATCTTTATTGCATATGTCACCACATGGAAAACATAACATGTTCATTAATCACTTGCCACATTCAAGGGCAGGGAAAAAGGGATGTTTTATTCAAACACAGGTTTTTAAAACCTGTGTTCTTAAAATCTGCACAGATTATTTAGCAGATCTGAAAGTCCACACATTTTGAATACAGGGAATACTAGTGTCAAGTTATATTTTTATGTCTTTTTAAATAAATATGGTTTCTCACTGAGAACATTTTACCATGAGTTCCAGTTCCAACTCAGTATTTCTTTCTGCAACAGTGGAATAAGCAATAGTCTTTTCTTCCAACTGTTTCTCAAGTGCAGAAAGCTGAGAAGACTTCTTTCTTATCTGAAATTAAATATGGCACAAAACAGCATTTAGACAACTGTTTCAATTTTACTCAAATATTTGTATGCACTTTCTTATCACCAATTCCATTTTAGCTGCTACTACAGTATTCTTAATAAACTATTTTATTTGTTGAACTATTATATTTTATTACTTACAGAGAAAGATTTAGGACAATTTACCTACAATTTATCCAACTAATTATCAGTGAAATAGATTTACATATTTATAACATTTACATTCATTATTAGGAAATAACTGCAAAGCCCATTATGCTGAACTCTGTAAACACATTAGCACCAGAATAGAAACATTAGCAATTTAATTTATTCACCCTGAAAAAAGCTGAAGCTTAATTTTCTTCTTTTGTGACTCTCTAGTAATGATGTTCATCTCTGGCAACTACAGTAAGATTTAATCAGGAAAAATACAACTGTTCTTTCAACCTGATTCCTAGGATTACCCATTAATTCAACCACACTAAAGCAACAAGACTGTATGTATTTTCCACATAACAAATCAAAGTACTAGCAGAAAAGCCTACTAACTACACCAACTTTAAAACAGTATTCTGACAACTAACAAATTAAGGTTGCTAGGCCTTTCTCCTTGCTGAAAAGTTTACATTTTTCTCAAATTAATCAGTCTTTAAAATTATTATGGCAATTGCAGTTTTCCATAACTATTGTCTTCACTATCTTTGATTACTGAACTGAAAAAAAAGTGGCATATTCTTTTCAGTGCTATTTAAAACTTACTTCTCTCTCTAAGTTACTAGTTTTTGAAGCCTTCTTCAATAGGTCTTCCTGTATGATTTGAAACTGACTGGTTCTTTGAGCCATGCTGGTCCTCAAGGCAGAATTCTCATCATCTGCTTTTATCAGTTTAGTGCGCAGCTCTTCTATCTCTTTCTGGAATTTTTGCCTCACCTTTTCAAACTGTTTGCTTATAAGTTCCAACTCTTGACATTTTCCCCTCTCTCAAAGTAGAAAAAATAAATTTAAGATTAATTTATAAAAGAACATGCAAACCCATAATGTAACTGAATGCAGTGACTCATGAAAACAAACAAAAATCCCAACAAAACCCCAAGAAACAAGCAATCATCATATAGGCGCCTGGACATAATTTCATGGAGCAGTCCTAGCAGTAACGACAGAAGCAATCAGAGAAACACTGGAACACAAGGATGCAGAGAAAAGAGTCAACAAAAATACAGAGATTTTAGCATAATCTGCAAAAAGAAAAAAATACATGGTTCCATTTCAACACAACTCCTAGCTCAGCTATTGCTGAACGAGCAACTTAAGCACCTAAAGAAAGAAACTTATTGTGTCTGGAGAGCATGACAGTTTCCAAGGTGGCAAAATGTTCCCTGTTCAAACAAAGCATACATGCTGTAAAACCAACTTGAACCCTTGCAGAACATTTCTGTTCTGTGGATTAATTAGAACTGCACAGCTATGTCAGCAAGCTTACCTCCTGGATTTCTGATCAATTTGACAGGTTCTGTTTCCAGGTCACATAACCTGCTGCTTTCTTGTCCTTCAATACCGTTAGAAAGATGCTCAGCTCCAGTACAGACAGTTAAGTTTGCACTAGGCTTCTGATTTTGTGCTTCTTTCATTGCCAGTTTAATGCTATTATAAAGAAGGAGACAGCTATTTAACATTCTTTCTGCATGCTAATTCTAATAGCACCTTATTATTTGCCTAACATTGACATAGTTCAGTAACCAGAAAGTTATACCTTAAGTCTGCAATCAAAGGTTTACTTGATTCACCACAAGATTCAGAGGTAGCTTCTTTTGCTGAGGAACTCAATAGCTGGTGTTTGAAATGGTGCCATTTAAACTAAAAGAAAACAAAAGTCAATGAAAAAATAACCTTTTAGTGCTTCATAGCACCCTTAATTCATGAGTTATACTGGCATATAAATTTTGAGACACATATACCAGGATATTAAGAGTTTGGATAACTCAATCCTTAAAATTATTTAAAACATAATACACTGCTAAGACTGTATCAGTTACTCTACCTCTTCAGATGTACCTAAAGACAACTGAGAAATAATGGTTTTTAGTATGTTGAGCTCTTCCCTTGAATCCTCTATTTCTTGACGACATAATTTCAAGTGGTTATGTTGCTGTGCAGTAAGTGCTCTCAGCTCTTCATTTTCACTTAATAGAGCATTTTTCTCTTCAAGTACTACTCCTTTTTCAGAAAGTTCACTCTCAAGCTTGATGATCTTCTGATCAGACTGACTCAACATTGATGTCATTTCAGTGTTCTTTGCCTCTAAACCTTTAATTTCTTCTTTTGTGTTGTGATTCTCTTCCTTTAATTGTCTAAAAAGACATATAAAAGCTATTTTCATTACTAGAGGCAGAGATTTACCAAGGAGACTCAAGCTACTATAGAGATGTTCATACACTGCCCACTCTTGCCAAAATGGCCTAAAGAACAATTAAGACAGGAATGCAAGTGCGGACAAAGCATGTAAATTGAGTAACTCCAAAATGTCTGTGCAGATGTTTGTCCAAATCTAACAATTCTAAAGACAATCAGCTGATCGTTGTCTACCCTCATTAAAGCAATGAGGAAATTACCAAAGAACTTCTGAAAAACAGGGGGCTTCGGCTTGAAATGAAACATACAAGAAACATAAAAACGTGTAGCAGTTGCAGTTGGGACAGAGAGAAGTCAAAACCAGGTTTGACTGTTCCATAAGCTGCAGTCAGCATCAGGCCTGAGTGCAGCCTCCCCATCAGAAGCCAAGTGTCTCTCATTGCAGCTAGGGACTGACAAGGTGGTGTGCAAGAGGCAGGGACCCAGGGGTGGCAGTGCCAGGGACACCCAGGGCAGAGCACAGGGTACACAGCCCATGGCCCTCAGCAGCAGCCAGAGGCCCCAGGAACCAGTGCCCCAGAAGGCTTGGGGGGGCATCTTTCTCATAATGGGGGGCAGCACATGGGATTAAAGTGTTTAAAAATTAGTTACAGAAAGTAAGTAGGAAAGTATTGAACTATATGAATTGAGCAGAACATTCACAATGACAACTGCAACGTGCAAGTTCTTGTAAAAACACTGTGCAGAGAATTTTTAAAAGCCTTTGTGTTACCTTAGCTGTTCTTCTAGGATGTCTAGATCCTTTCTGTAGCTGATACACTTTTCATTCAACTTCTCTTTTTCTTTTTCACAATTAATTAAACGTTCTCCCAAGACTACTTCTTCAGCTTTAGCCTTAAAAAACAATTTTTTCATTACTGTACATCAATAAACTAAGTTTCCATGTCAAAAGGCTATTTTAAAAATAATAATATGCTCTTTCTGGTAAGTAAGTAGATAATACTATTGCTCATTATTGTGGAGAGAGGCAAAGTAGTTTTCTTTTTCTGCCATTTAGGAAACAAAAACTTAATATTTTAGAGTACAATTGTGGTTGACAACCTAGTTCCACAAGGAAAGAAGTCTAACAAAACAAAAATCTCTGTAAGAGCTAACTGTATTTTCTCCTTTCACAAGGCAGACACAATTAACAATTCTGATCGTTGGAACTTTGGGAGATTACTTCATTTTCATCTTAGCTCTTCTTCAGTACATGTTTCATTGAACAGCTTATACATATGGAGGAAAAAGCATTTTTAAAGACTCATGCATTTTTAAAATGTAAATTTCCCAGCTGGCAAGCAGGAGACATAAGAAGCAGCAACAGTATTAGGATAGTGCAAAGATGGAGACTCCAAAGATCCAGACTATGCAAAGACAGTGTAAAATTATAGAACTCAATTTATAACTACAAACAGTTTCTCACCCTGTCCCATCTCTTTTAGGACTTCGCCACCAACAAGTGGAAACAATTGACTCACTGATGAACCTGTTACTATTAGCTGCCTGGCCTTTTGGAAGAAACATTTCATTATCATGGCAAATACAAGTGAAGAAAAATCTCTCACCTTTTCTAATGTTTCAGTTATTTCTGCTTTATACTTCATGAAAGCTCTTGTCAGCTCTTCCACGTTCAACAAAGCTTCATTTCTTTGCTGTTGTGCTCTGCCAAGCAAAAAATGCAAACCAATTTTAAAACCCACAAACTCCAGCCATTAATGTAACTATCTTCTCCAGTTACTAAAAACAACTACTGCACTAATTGCTCCAGGTACTTCCTTTCTTCTTCCAACTTTCCAGGCCCCACCTATCACAAGACCCTGCTCCAAGAAAAAACCCAGACTCCCCACTGCTTCCCTTTATGACTCCACAGCACTGCCCTGCCCCTGCCATTACTCATTAGGGAAGAAGCTGGCAGAGAAGCTCGGCACAGCTCAGGTGTGCAGCCTGCTCAGGACAGCCAACATGGGCACACCAGAGCTCCTGCTGCTCACTGGGGCTGGCATGGGGCACTGCCTCATTTAAGTACAGCCAACCTTCATATCTGTCTCTCAATCTGAGAACCAGTGCCCAAAAGTATCCAGAGAAGGGGATAAGAACATTTCAGAACAACAAAATAGCATTAGTCTAAAGCACTTCAATTTGCCTGCAATTAATGATTAAAAGTAAACCACAATAAGTGTTGATACTAACCATACCATGATACTTAACAGCTGGCAGAAGCTCAGCTTTTCTGAAGTACAAAAATATTTACATTTACAACTAGTAACTAAGTACAGCTAGTTCCAACCCCACATGCAAAACATTTTTTCAACCACCAGTGCAAACCCCACAGTATTTCAGGTTTCCTTGCCATAAGAAGGTTAGAGGTAATTTCATGCGTAGAGGCACAAGTCAAACAAAGAGTTTGCATTTAAAAGGTTCAAGAAATGCTTTCCCACCCATTAATTCAGGTAATTTTTTGCCCCAGGTAATGCAGTTAAATTAATAAAGGTAGGGATCTTTTTATTTATTCCACTCACTTCTTTAAAGTTACATTTTGGAGGTGATAGGAGTGTTCACAGCAACTTCCAACAATCAAATTCCCTAACCCTCTCAGTAGTGACACAGCCACTAGGCTATAGGAGGCAACAGGAAAGGTAAATGGGGATTGAGATAGAATTACAGCACCCTTTTCAACATAGACAGGTAAGATTAAGGATAACATAAAAATGTTCTCTTGATTAAGTTGTTCTTTTATCATTTTCTCACACCAAGGAATACTGCTGAATACCAGCTGCTGAATATACACTGAATATACTTGCACGACAAATACAAACATAATTCAGGGAAAAGATATTCTGGACACTGAAGCTTTCCACTGCAGTACAACCATTCTGAAGGAAGGAAAAAAAACAGCTGATAAACTGGTACTAATGTGTACTATCAGCCTGCAACTACCAGCTGACCTCAAGACTTTAAATGTGCCCATTTAAATAACCACAGAATTTCCCCTTTAAAAAAAAAAAAAAAAAAATCCCAAAACAGAAAAGTAATTTGATTCCACAAAGCAAACCACTGCCAATGGAAATAAACAATTAGGCTCTATTATTCTATGTTCCATTTATTAAAATGAGTTAATTACCTCTTTCCTTGCTTGCTTTGTTCAATTAACTCAATTTTCAGAACTTTATAGCCTTTTTGATATCTTTCCAACATGTGTTCTCTTTCCATTGCTGTTTTCCGATTTTGATCTAGTCTATCTTCTGCATCTCTAGCAAATAAACAAAGCATAATAAAAAATAATACCTTTTTGTAAAGAAAATAGATTTTTGTTGTCCTTTAGTGCATACAATGTTCCAGAAGTGCTAGACAAACATGCTGTAACTCTCAAAACTAGGTTAGGAGCACCCATAGTCTGCAGACTCCCCAGGAGTATGTCTGCAGTATGGAGTGGTATCTAAGACTTATCAATAGGCACCAGGTGTCACAACTGCCAAGGACCAGAGAGCTGACTTTGTGTCATGAGCTCTGATCATAGAAATCATATTTTCTCTGCCAAGAGGTCTGACTAGAAAAGAACACTAAAATACAAATTTAACGTAAGTATTTTTACTTTTTTTTGTGAAGACAGACTACTGAACTATTAATTGACTATTCCACAACATGAAGTTGTAAGGCAAGTTTACAACCAAGTATGTCATCCTGACACCTCTGAACAGCATTTACATCAGTTTTATTTGGCCATTTGCCTTGATTAATGTATTCATGAAGAAAGAATCCTTTATGTTACAAAGAACACGGTCACGTTCAGAACTAAGTATGCTTATTACAAGAGAATATATGTGGTCATATAGCAAACAATCACCCTACCCAGCTGTAAGGGCACATTCCTTTTCAGCACACACTACGGACTGGTTTCTTTCACCAGTCTTTTATTATTTTTTCTTAGTTTCTTGAAGTACATTCAGCACAAACTAAACTATGTTCCTCCTCCTATAGATGGCTCTGAAATTAAAGTTTCAGACCTCAGATTACATGACCCACACAGTACCAGAAATTATGTCATCCCTAAAAAGAGACTGGACTAGCAGGAAGACAACAATAAAACATTGATTTAAAAGTACATATTACTTCAGAATTTTATCTTGAGCTGAAACTTCTGCTTCCAAATTTACAATCTGTTCTTTCAACTTCGGGATGTTGATTAAATGTGTAGCTAAAGCAGCCTCAAGATATGAAATCTGAAATACAAACATATTTAGGGTTTCATTAACATTTGCATATATACAGGTGAGAAAAAGAAGAACAATCTGCTTACTGAATGACAGTGCTCTTAACCCCACTGTAAATTGTTTGTTCATCTACACCACCTTAAATCCAATTTTCTGCTCATTTAACACTCCTTGTAGTTCCAGTGTGTTATTCTATCTAGCAAAATGATTTCTTTGTAGGTTGACCTTGTCTCTTGCTTTCCCAAGAAATTTAAATCCAATTACTTGTTTCAGTGCCAGGCAGCCAAACATTTTGTTTATGTATTTATTTGTACTGTTTAGGAGATAACATTTCTCTAACAAAATCCACTAAGGATAGCTATGTTTTATTAATATTATATATGAACCAAATAAAACAACATAGTTGTCCTGAAATAAACCTGTACAGACAAGTGTAAAGTAAATCAGTAATTATTTATTAGATACAATATTCCCTTCTAACTCATCTTCACTTTTTTCAAAATAGCAATATTAATCCAACCTGAGAGATCAACTATTTTCATTTCCTAGACAATTCACTTCTGTGCCATTATTGTTCCCATTAATGTCTCAGACACATGAATGTACAGTACTAAATGCTTTACTGAACTATCTTGTTTCATAGTGTATTCTTCATTTTGTGGCTTAGTGTCTTTAGACTAAACTTTGGAACATGAGTAGATGGAATTCATAATTAATATAGTTGTTTTGGCCATGGAGAAATAGTCCAAACTATTCTGTCCAAGATTAATATTGATTATGAAATATATACTAAATATTAAACAGATTAAAATAAGACAAAACCCAGCACATTCTGTTTGTAATTCTAAACTCAAAAATCATGGTCTTTGGTTGTCTTGGGGTACACTAAAGATACATACTTTTGTTCTTGACTGCATCAATTCAAAGTTCATTGTTTCCACTCTGTTCTTCAGGTAATGATTCTGAGAAGTCAAAGATGCATTTTGCTCATGGAGGGCATCCAACTGCTCCTGAAGTTGTTCATTTTCTTCCACAGGTTTATCCAAAGTTGTGGATAAAAAGTAAGACTAGACACAAAAATATGTGTATGTATATATATATATATATATATATATATATAGACTTCTATAAAAATACATCATAAAACCAAAAACAGTGTTGGGTTGAAAGGGAACATTTACTCCAACCACCTTGCAATGAGCAAGGACAACCTGAAATAGATCAACTTGCTCAGAGCCCTGACCAACCTGACTTCGAATGTTTCCTGGGAAGGGGGACCTGTGGCTGTGCTGCACCACCCTCATGAGTAAAATACCTGCCACATCTAATCTAAAGCAGTTGAAAATCATTACACCTTGCCCCATCCCAACAGGACCTGCTAAAAGCTTTGTCCCCATCTTTCTTACAAGCCTCAAGTACTGAAAGGCGGATCAGAAACTTCCTGTTGCAATGTACTCAAGGGATACTATGCTTAAGGTGCTCCCTTGACATCACTGCCCCATCTACAGTGTGTCTACTCCAAGCCCCGCAGCCAAAAATGCTCAAAAACATAGCAAAGAATTGAAAGCCAAAGTAATAAAAATGAGTAATGAAGAGAAATATTTACATTGCATTTTCTTTGAAAATCCTGGTGAGATGTTCTCCCAGAATTCTTCCTACAGCTGGAAAAGCCTTGGCAATCGTAATTGGGCTGTACAAAGTCCTCCAGAGGGACGTCGATGACCTCATTGAAGCAGTGGCCGCAATGTTCCCCTGTACTAGTGTTTGGAGAGAGAGAGAAAAAGTCACTACTGCTTTTTTCTTTATTAGGTTGCTCATAAAGACAAGTCAAACAAAAAGCAGAAAAGGAGCTAATTACAGTAATCCATCACACGGAATACGACAGTCACTCTACAAGAGACAGGAGGGTCTCATTCCCAGACGTGCTCATACCTGGAAAGCTCTTTCTCTACAGTTTGTAGGTTTTTTTCAGTTCTCCTCAGCTGATTCTGTAATGACTGCACATTTGCTAGCAGGTCGTCATCAGCATCATTTTCAGAGTGAGTCCACATACTACACTCCATTGGTAACATGCATAAGGCTAAAGTAATATTTAATATTAAAACAGTGTTAAATGGGCATGAAAACTATTTGCAAAAATTTAAAAAAGGAAAGGAGAAAAAAAATACAACAAAGAAAACTCTCAATTTTCAAACATATACATTTCACACATTCCTCCTATGTTCACTAGATAAAAGTAACAAATTTTCTCTATTGCGATAAGTTCTGTATGCACTCATGAAGTACAAAAAGCTTCATGACTTGCCATACATGAAAACTGGAAAAACCTGCTATACGTTATTTGCCAAAAAATTTGTCACTCAGCACATCGCAGAGATCTGGCAGTCCCGGCACCTGGCGGGGAGCCCGAGAAGCGAACGGCGCACACGCGAACGCGCAAAACTTGCCTCGCTGCCGGTGACCAGCGCAACGAGAGACGAAAGCGAACCGGGCCCGGGCGGACGGGCAGCACCAGAGCCAGGGCGGGGAGCGCCGCAGGGGCCCGAGCCACGGGCCCGGGCGGGCAGGGAGCGGCGGCGCGGGGCGCTGGCGGCCGTCCCTGGGCTCCGAGCCGGTCGCTGTGGGGTAGGTGCCGGTGCCGGGGTCGGGGTCGGTGCCGGTGCCGGGTTCGCTATGGGGTCGGTGCCGGTGCCGGGGTCGGTGCCGGGTTCGCTGTGGGGTCGGGGTCGGTGCCGGTGCCGGTGCCGGGGTCGGTGCCGGGTTCGCTATGGGGTCGGTGCCGGGGTCGGTGCCGGGGTCGGTGCCGGGTTCGCTATGGGGTCGGTGCCGGGGTCGGTGCCGGTGCCGGTGCCGGGTTCGCTGTGGGGTCGGGGCCGCTCCCGCCGCGCTCGAACCGCGCGGGGCCCTCACGGCGCAGGCGCGGCCCCGCCGCCGGCGCGCCGGGGGCGGGAGCGGCGCGCGCCGCCGCGGTGCACTGTGGGCGGGCGGGGCGCGGCGCCGCCGGGGCGGCGATTGGTGCGGCGGGCGGAGGGGGCGGGGCGATGCCGGTCCCGGCGCCCCGCTCGTCGGTGCGCGCGCGCGGGGCTCGGCGCTGCGGGGCGCTGCCGCGATGGGGCCGCGGCTGCTGCTGCTGCCGCTCGGGTGCCTCGCGCTGCTGCTGCCGCCTCCGCCCGGCGCCGCCGAGTTCAGCCCCTCCCTGGACAGCGACTTCACGTTCACGCTGCCCGCCGGCCGCAAGGAGTGCTTCTACCAGCCCATGCGCAAGGAGGCCTCGCTGGAGCTCGAGTACCAGGTCGGGCGGGGCGGGAGGGGGCGGCTCCCCGCGGCGTGTCCCGAGGGGAGCCGGGGTCCCGATCCCGCCGTGACGGCGGCGCTGCGGTCCGCCCGGCCCGGTACCGCGGTCCGCCCGGCACGGTACCGCGGTCCGCCCGGCACGGTACCGCGGTCCGCCCGGCCGGTACCGCGGTCCGCCCGGCCCGGTACCGCGGTCCGCCCGCCCGGTACCGCGGTCCGCCGGCCCGGTACCGCGGTCCGCCCGGCCCGGTACCGCGGTCCGCCCGGCCCGGTACCGCGGTCCGCCCGGCCCGGTACCGCGGTCCGCCCGGCCGGTACCGCGGTCCGCCCGGCCGGTACCGCGGTCCGCCCGGCCCGGTACCGCGGTCCGCCCGGCCGGTACCGCGGTCCGCCCGGCCGGTACCGCGGTCCGCCCGGCCGGTACCGCGGTCCGCCCGGCCGGTACCGCGGTCCGCCCGGCCCGGTACCGCGGTCCGCCCGGCCCGGTACCGCGGTCCGCCCGCCCGGTACTGCGGTCCGCCCGGCCCCGCTGCCGCCCCGGTCCTGCCTTCCCGCGGCCCTGGGCGGCAGCGGCAGCCGAGGGACGCGGTGCCCTGCCCGGGATCCTGCCGGCCTCGGCAGCGCCCGCAAAGCCACGTTGGAATTTTACACTGTTACAAGTTCTGCCTTACGGAGTTAAAAATTCACTTACCGCCCTTTTCAATTATTCTAATACGTTCTTTTGGTGGTCTGGGGGGAATTTTTTGTTTCGACTTTAGAGGAGCTCATGTCGCCATCCTTTAAAAGGGCAGAATGTAGAAAGTTCGCGGTTGTGACCTTGTGTTGTAGCCCTAAAGCATAAGAAAGCTTGTGCTGATGCACAGATCCCGTATTTGCCTATCTTTGTGCTGATATGAAACACCTTTCATCGCAACGATGAAAGTTTTAAAGAAACAGCCCAGTTTAACAGACTGTCCTTAAGATTTTTATGTCCTTCTTGAGAAGAGTCGAGTTCCCAGAGATGTCTGGGATAGATCTCGATCTCAGATTTTTCCCCCCTTACAACAATTACTTTTTTTTCCAGTAAAATAGATACAGTGAGGGAAGTTGCACTGAATATTCTCCCACCCTATTACTGTGCCTAGAAGGGGGCCATGATCTGTCTCTCTTCCCCTACATCTGTTTTTCCCCTCTGTTTCCAACTGAAAGAAAAAGCTGAAATTCGTGGTTTTCTCTAATTTTTAATACTGTTACATGCAGAACTAAACAGGAATGAAAGAGAGGTGTTCAAGCTTTGTTTAGAATCCTGTCTAAGCCAAACAGAAATTTATTATGCACAGAGTAGGATTTTGGTTTGATCATAAGCTAAATAAAGACATTGTTTTAGAAAGGATTAGTGTGTATAACATTATATACATACCTTATTTCTACTCAGGCATAAATTTCTCAGCACTACTGTTAACAGTAATGATTTGATTTTCTATGTGAATGTGTAGAAAAGGAGCTCTATGTATTACTGCAAATAGATTTATTTTATATTTAAGTAAAAGCATAAGAATATGTAACATAGGATGCAGCTAATTCTCCAAAGACATAAGGTAAACACTATGCTAATACAAAGGTTCTTTTCTGGGTGTTTAGACTGGAGCATAGCCCTAAAGATATGTCACTATGTATGGTTTTTAATATGATCAGCTGTTAGCTAGTAATTTTCTTTGTCCTTTTTTCTTTTTTTTCCCCTTTTTCCTAAATCTTCAGTGTCAGTTTGAATCAGTGAAAACTTTGCCCCCCTTTTCAGCAAGAGCAATCTGCTATACTCAAAAAGCTCACTGGAAAACAAGAAAACAAAAAATTCCCCTAGTATGGACTAATGTAATAAAAATAAAAATGGTCCCTGTCCGCCCACTCATGCAGTTACTCCCTTCCCTATAAAGAATTTCTACAGCACCATAGGTGTGGTGATACAACTGTAGCTGTGTTACACAGTTAAAGAAGCACAGCTTTGTACTGCTGTAGACACTCCCTGAGAGCTTAGGAAGATAAACGCCTTCAATTCCTTTTTCCTTTGGGAAAAGAGAATGCCCTGGCAGAATTCAGACCTTAAATGTGCATCAAAAGGTAAAAAAGTCTTGTGATACAGCTTTGATTGGCATAAGAGGTTTGGTCCTGTCTTCAACACTATTAATTCACCCAATGGAGAGATCTCAGGGATGAGAGCACATAGTGTACAAATATGTGTAACATGTATGAACAGAAAAGTGACCTGTTAGAACATTTCTACCACTGAAGTGGCAGTAGTGCACATACTTACAATCAGTGATAGCAGCCATAGAAATGCCAGATTTAGCCATCTCTTGTTGGTATTTTTACAGGTTGTCTGACCTTGCCTGTTGATAAAACTGCATACATTCCTAAAAGTAATGAGGCTATGGTTCAATATAAGCCCAGCCTGGCAGGTTTAGATTACACTTAGTGTAAGATTCTGAAATTGCCAAAATGCTTTTAGGTTGAGCTGATTTTTCATCTGTTTCCAGTTAATTTGGTGTCAGCTCATCCAGATAGATTAATATTTCAGATTCTTTTTTTTGTCTGTTCCCTTACCTAAAAACATTTGCCTTCCCTATAAATGTTGCTGTCAGCAATGCAAACAGCAGTTCAGCTGGTCAGAGGTTGGTTATTTTTGTTTGTTTCACAGGTTCTAGACGGAGCGGGATTAGATGTTGATTTTCATCTGCTCTCCCCAAAAGGTGAAACTCTAGTTTTTGATGAAAGAAAATCAGATGGAGTTCATACGTAAGTTTAAAATCTTCAAACTCAGAGGTGTTGCATAAAGAACTTTTCTGGTTTCATTAGCAAATATAACTAAAATGAAGGTTGAGTATTTTTATTCCTTCATATTACAAAAGACTTTCTAATAGGACAGTTTGAAAATAGCAATTTTCTTTTTATAAACTCTGAATGCTTTTTACATGAATTGTACCATGAAGTGAAGGCTATTTTTGTTTTAATGATAGCTGTTCATGTTCAGTGGATAAAAATAATAATTATGGAGTTGAAAAAGGTCTCCATATCTAATAGCAAAAGATCATGTGAGTCATACAAATAAGAAGCTAAAAAGTCCCCTCTTTTTCCAGTCCTTTTGTCAAAATATGTAATATACTATACAGCATAACATTTCCACTTATGGTATATTTTTTTGTAATGATTAACAATGATTCAAAATCCCCAAAAATAAATGAAAGCAAGCTGCTGTCTTCATCATTTTGAGCCATTGGAGTCAGTAGGATTGTTTTACTGTGACTGTGTAATCTGTAAAATGTCTTTAGAGTTCTTACTCTTTACAAAAAGAAGATGTGGTTATTTTTAAGTGCATGATGGTCAGTCTTAAAGGGAAGGGTATGCTAACAAAAACTGACTTTCTGAGAACCAGCACAGAAAGTGTAGTTAATCATGTTTTGATTATATACACAGTGTGGAAACAGAAGATGGAGATTACATGTTCTGCTTTGACAACACATTCAGTACCATTTCTGAAAAGGTGATTTTCTTTGAATTGATCCTGGACAATATGGGAGAAGACGGTCAGGATGAGGAAGACTGGAAGAAATATGTTACAGGCACAGATCTCCTAGACATGAAGTTGGAAGATATTCTGGTTAGTATTTGATCTTTCATTCTACTCAATGTAAGAGCATTTGGGAAAAAACTCAACATCATGTAGCCAATCAGTCTTGGTCTGTTAAATCATCCTGGAAGGTATTCCAGGTCCATGTATTCCTTTTACTAATACAGGAAGCCTGGAACCATGGTTCTCTTGTTTACAAACTTGAAGATCTTTTCAGAATAGGCCCTTCATCAGCAAGAAGAAACTGCCTAGCTCTCAGTCACTTGGTTTCCAATTCAGCTTCCTTTCTTCCTACTGCTGAAATGGGACATTCTTTCCTAGCAGCAATGAAATGAATACTTTGAGCATTAATGTATTATTTAGTCCCAATGATGTAGCTGGAATTACTGCATCATTTTTATCAGTGTTCTGGTAACCCAGCCTCTTAATCACATCTTTGCAGAAGTGTGGATTACTCTTCCTATCCTCAGTAAATTAAATGTTACTATATTAGGTTTTTTGCCCCAAATTTTATTACATCTTTTCAAACTAATAGACAGAATGAAAGTTAATTTGCATAAATTACAGATTAATCTTTGCAGACATTGAGTGGTTATGTTTGCTTAAATGTATGCTGAGCCTGTTTGATGTAGGATTCAGACTACTGCCGAGTCAAAGCTCTTATTCCCTTTATGACCATTAAATATTGAGATTACTCTAAAAGCAAAGGACTGCTTGGTACTCCAGTACCACTGTTCTTAATGCTTGGTAGGATTCAGTAAGCTGTTGTTTGTTTGATCATATCTACAGAAAATAGGTATCTTTAAAAAACTGACCCAAAACCCCAAAATCTGCACACACCTACTGAATACATAATGTAGAAAATAATTGTATTATTTATTGCCATAAACACTACAGATTTTTAAATAACAAAATAAACAACATTTAAAATATTTTATAGCTGTATGATACACTTTTAAATAATAATAAAACCAAATACAGAATCTGAAAATCTGACCAGATGTTTAAAATTAGCAGTCAATACACTTAGAAAAAAGCAAAAGTGAAGTGAAATTGTGAAGAAAATCCCACTCACACTAATCACAGAAAATACTTGAATGGATTTGACAGATACTTGTTTACATACTCGTATGTCTTCCAAATGAAAAAGAAATGCAGAACTTATCTTTGAGAGCCTTGAAAATCTTATAAAGTAGGTAATTTTTGTAAAGTTAAGATTAGTATTTGATGCCATTGTTTACTTAGCCAAGTATTACTTTCTCTGCAAGCTCTATGAGGACTAACATAAGCACTTAGTAGTTTAATTCTTTAATGAGAACACATTTTCTGGCAAAAATAGGGAATTTTGTCTTATGTTTAATGCTCTTTTGTGGTGTTCATTTTCCTTATTGTGTAACAATGAACTTTATCATCATAAAATTATTTGGCTCCCCAGAACAGCTATTTTGAAATATCTTTGTTAAATATGAAACAGAGAAAATGTTACTGCTGTGTTTAGCCTTATAGTTTTGGGGAATTTTAAAAATTATTAGCCTCTTCTTACTGCAAATGTTACTCTTCTCACTAAAGTTACTTCAGGATCCACAGTTATATCAAGAATATAATTGAGCATTGCATGAGATCAGCTCTTGTCAGTATCTATTACATGGTGGATGAAAGATCAACAGATCATAGGACCAGATGTTTACTTAGTAAGTGCAGCATAAAGTGTGAATCTTGAGCTGCTGTTGTCATGGCTGGAGTGTTCACGTACTTCCTCTAGTTCCAGGGTCACACTATATGTCCTTTCTAGAACCTCCAGTTGTCCTGCTCAAGATATATTGTAAAAATTCTGCTTTTGGATCAAGGCTGAAGCAGCAGTTTATAGCCACTACAGTGGAAACACCAGAAGCAAACAGGAATATAACATTATTGGAGTTTTCTTTTGCTACAGATATAGCCCTGATAGTAGTTTCTATTAAAAAAAAACTTTAATTGTATTATGCAGCAGAAAAAAACTCTACGTGTGCTTGCCACTACATAATTTGTTTTGAGACTAGTTCTGCAGATTTGCTACTTTTTATTAGTCCAAATAGGTTTGATATCTCTCTTACCTCCCTACCTATAAAAGAGAAAAAAAACAAAATTACTACAGAACACTAATGCTATATTAATTATTTTAGCTGGTACACAATTAACAGACTACAAATTAATGAAAACTGTGATGATGCTCGTATTTTCAAATGAAATTAACTCTTCACTTGTTAAGACATTAAATTACAGGTGGTAACATGGTATTAATAATTTTGTATGTGCTGCAAGCTATACACTTAATTCAGGTAGGTTTTTTCTAAAAACTCTTTTGTTACTTACCAGGAATCCATCAACAGTGTCAAAGCCAGATTAAGTAAAAGTGTCCAGATTCAGACCCTGCTCAGAGCATTTGAGGCTCGTGACCGAAACATTCAAGAAAGCAACTTTGACAGAGTGAATTTCTGGTCCATGGTCAACTTGGGAGTAATGGTGGTGGTATCAGCTGTTCAGGTTTACATGTTGAAAAGTCTCTTTGAAGACAAGAGGAAAAGTAGAACTTAATATTCATTAATGTTCTTATTATAATCATAACAATATAACAGGTATGGGGCAGAAGGGGAGCAATAAACTACAGTAAAGACAATAAACATCTTTCAGATTCTTTTGAACAGACAGTAAAAAATCAGGTTTTCAATTCTTATTGGACATTTTGGATGTGATAGTGCTGGTCTTGTTTGTGTTTGGAGGTTTTCTGTTGTTTTTTGTGGTGGTTGGTTGTTTTTTTTTTAAACACAGACATAAGGCCTCTTTCCAAGCTCTCCCATTTTTCCAAATGCTACTATTTTTTATACTTTTAGGATTTGTTAATGATTGTTAATTCCTACCTTATGCATACCACACTTGGTGCATATGCAAAGTAATGTTAATATAACTGTCATTGTCTTCATTTTCACAAAAGTTCTAGTAACTTAGACATTGGTTTAGTTGCTGTTAAATACTGAGTGAATTTACATGTGCCTAAGTTTACAGAATTGGTAGTTACTGTCATTTTTCTTCAAAGTTACATGTTTCTTAAAATCCTTAGTTTTTGTTCTTTGGCATCATGAAGAAACACTGGGCTAACTGTGTAAGAACATGAAATCTCTTTTTATAACAGATGACTAATATCAGCACTTTAAAGAAAAGCACCATCAATGTGAAATTGAGGCAGTCTTGAAAAACAATTGGAGAAAATAAATACAATTGCTGTTCATAAATCCTTCTGTCCTCTAGTTGCAAAATCCTGTTCTCCTTTTTGGTTGTTAGATGAGACAAGTGACTGTGTGGTACACAAACAAATACAGGCACATGTTGAAGTATGATTTGCAAGTTCTTAGTTACTGTAACCTCATGTAATAGATAATTATTTACAAAGTAATTTCTCATGTTTAATCCTTTTAATAAAGGCAGGGGGTGTTCATGGTGTGCCAAAACAAACATTGATTGTTGTAGTCTCAAAATCCCACTTTATTACAACTGTGACTAATGTTACAGTCAGGTACAGACTTACAAAGGCATATAAAACCAAAGCTGTTCACCTCAACCTGAACTTTTTTTGCTCAACCTCACAAGTCTTTCAGCTGTATAAGCACATTCTTCACATAACCCATGTTTCTGTACCTAGCTGTTCATCTTAAAAAGGCACAAATCACAGGAGCAGGAAGTACAGGCCTCAAGTTTTATGATCAACTGAATATGTAGTATCACTAAGGCAAAGCTAGTACCAAATCAGAAATTTATAATACCTGGCTAAGTGGCTTTTAACAGTGTTGTGAAGGTATAGTTTTTGCCAAAACCCCTGGTGTGTGAAAATTAACTTTTAAAGTAGTTTCAAGTTAGTACTTTTTACAATGTGCCAAGTCTTTTATAAATGTGTTAACTGCATTTCAGCATAAGAGTTTTTTAAAAACTTTATTAAAAACACTTTTTTAAAAGGTGTTTTCAAGGGTATATGTTCTGCCTGTTGTGGAGTCGTCTGTATGAATGGCAGTTACAACTTTGAGACTTTCTGTGATTAAAGTGTTTTATGAATAAAAACAGGGTCAATAGGTGCATTGAAGAAATATGTTGTTCAAATGAAAGAGATACTAGCAAGGGCTACAGAACATAGAAACAGCACTTCAGCTTCAACTTCAGAGAAGAGGACCTAGCAATAATATTTCTAAATAGTTTTTATAAGCAAAATTATTATTATTGCAGAACTTGTTATAGAGGGCTCCAAAGGCTGTCAGGCTACTTCATCTTTCTGCAAAGCTGTGTCCAGAATAAGACTGTACCCCTTTAAGGTTTTGTGTATCTTACTTCTATATGATGCTTTCTATTCTTAACTGCCCAGAAATAGAAAGTTTGTTTCTGTGATAAGAACAATGTCTAGGAAAAAATAATTCTTTCAGCTAGAGTAGCAGTCCCTCTCCCAGTAGCACTATACCATGTTAACATCTTTGCTTGCATCACCATGTGTGATGCTCCAAACCACCTGCAAAATGCTAAACCAGCTTTGAGAAGGTGTGACAAAGACATCTACCTCTGCTCTCCAAGCTACTAGAGTCAAGGTTTCAGCTTAGAACTTCCAACAGATATGCTCTGCCAAGTTTTCCAAGGGCACCTTAAGGGATTGGGTTCCCCAGCTGCTCTGCTGTGCCTGTGTAGCTACACACCAGTGGCAAAACAGTTTGGTGTCCCAGTTGAACCTGCTACTGGATGCAGCATGCTCTGATCAGACTGCTGCAGGTCAGTGTCTCCTGTTACAAACAGCCATCTCTGGGAGAAGGAAAATGCAACAATCTGCAGCAGAATTCATCTGGAAGAAATTACTATTTTGCAATGAAGAGCTCTGACTGTATTTGCTTTTCATTTGAGGTCCACTATAGAAAATGAAAGAGGGAATAACTAGAAAGGTTCATTGACTTTGGCAGCTGGAATGTTTACGATAGGTGAAGGATTTGGTATTCAAACTTGCAGTTAAGTAAAATTGTACTTGGATTTTGAAGAGTAGATTGCTTTTGACTGTATAAAATTTACAAAGGAGAATATAAATTACCGTTTTTTTTCTTAATGGACTTTTTATTCAGAATTAAATGTTTTAAGACTTGGAGATGTTGAATAATTATGCAAAACTGAGATTTTCAATAAATCAAGTTTAAACCTGTGTTTGTGTTGTTTGTAACAAAGGAAGAATGTTACGAATACCTGTGAATGCTGCAAAAGATCAAGGATGGTAAGCTAACAGGAAAGTTGGTTTTAGTAATGGAGCTTTTTCATTTCTTCCTCGTGCAGTTTTCAAATTCTGTTCTTATTCACTGTAAATATCAGATTAATCAGTACAAATAATTTAAGATTTACACAGGCATCAGATTAGAAAGACATGAACCTCCAGACTTTCTAGGAGAAAGTATTTAACATCTTTAACTGTATTTCAGCAGCAAACATCTACAGGAAATAGTATCACAATCTCAAGCTCACAATTAAGAATCTCATATGTTACTAGTAGTTATTAATATGTAATATATTTGTATTATTCATAAAACAACACTCAAGATCCTGAGAATGAAGCTGAAAACATTGGAGCACTTTTCATGTAACTGAGTAATACATGTCAAATCCAAGCTTGTTTACCATTTCGTAAGACTCCTGAGACAGCCGGGCCTGTCCGGAAGCCTGCAAACCACATTGTTCAAGTAATGAAACAGGAACTTCCTTTATGCTGTGTTTTGAATCAATGAAATAGATAACAAAATGCTAAAGTACAGTCTTATGTTGTCAGATTGGGCAACAGTGGTAGAAGTGGTAGAAGCCAACAGTGTGCTTTGTCTTGAAAGTGCGAGCAGAAAAAACTCTTCAGAGCTATTTTTGGACACACACATGAGAAACACCTGCAAAAGTTCCCTTTCCTGCTGTCCAAGCGTGCACCATGGGGAATGACACCTTCTGCCTTCACTTCTCCATACAACACAGCCTTGTGCCTCAGACACATCATTTCTTGTGCTCAGCAGTGCAGCACAGCCTTATTTAACTCCACTTGTTCATTAGGGTGCAGCACCATCCTCACTCCATGACCACGTGGTACAGCATTAAGACCACATTTTTAAAGATGTTATTCAATTGATCACAGTAATTACTTTTTTTTCCTTAGAGTTTTTTTTAATATTTATAAGGCAATCTCTTCTAAATACTCATTATCCCAAAAATTTAATTAAGACAGCCTAAACTAAGAAGACTGAGCTGTATCTGATGTCTTTAAAAACTAGCAGTTCCTTTCCTGTGTTTCAAAGAACAATTATCCTCAAGACTTTCATCTGAGGACTTAGCAACTTGAGATGTAGACAGGAAACATGCATCTCTTAGCTACTGCTGAGAAATGGCTTCTGTTAAGCCCTTCCTTTTCCATGCTTTCCCCCAGCTCCAGTAGTACTCTCTCATAGAAATTCACTCTTCATGGAGGAGGAATGCTGTATGAACAATGCAGTACAGAGGTGAGTAACCACAATTTACACATATCATTACAGAAATTAAAAATACAGTCAAAAGCTACATAACCTACTGTTCTCAAAATCAATTCACATAACATAACTTGATTTTTATAGAAGACAAAGATAATAAAATAGTAATAAAATAATGAAAAACAACTTGGAAGGAGCAGTAAGCCCACCTACACTGCTGAAGTTTCACCAGAAGCATCTGAATTACATCTCTCATGCTATCCAGTCCTATAGCTGACAACAGTTAATGAGACTTGGAACCCATACTGTTCACAAACTCCTTTCTTCCCTTCACACATACCAAGTTTCTGGAAACAATATCCATCCCTCATTCTCCATCTGGCACCTGCTAAACTGGAATACAGACAGGTGTGTAAGGAAGGCTTAGATTTGCCAAAAGAAAAGTTCTAGAAGCATATATCTATACATTTCAACTTTATGTAAAGGGACCTGAAATTAAACATCTAATAGAAGTCCTTTACTTTTATGGTTAAGGATTTAGTAGAGTTAAAAACTCTCCAGTTGTTTATTAATTCCCTTTCCCACAATTTCCAACTATTGTTGATGCTCTTTAGAATTTTACCCTTAGTACTTTCTGGTTTCTGCTATCATGCAACCAATTTGTGAAGTTACAAATACCAAATCAGAGCAACCAAATAACACAAAGCAGGCAACCAGTAATGATCATGAATGATAAAAACAGGTTCATAGCAAAGCAGAACTATCCCACTGGATGGTGACACAAGCAAATGTAACAATAGCCATATTTTCCAAGTATTTATTAGAGAATGGCAAAGCACAAATTAAGGACTTGGAAGTGGTGCTTACAGAAAAAACTTTATTTAGAGCAAGATAGAACTATTAATTAGCTTCCTGCTTTAAAACAGGTTTTTAAGTAAATGAGCTTGTTAAGAGTAAAACTGCAGATGTCAGGTTTGGAAGGTACTGTGCTGAACATTAAATAGCAGAAGACTAGGAAACCAAAACCACATGGAAGTCAATTAGTGCCAAACACTAAGTAGGTAACAATGGAAAGCAAACCAAATAATGTCAAATTGAGAAGCTGGAAACATAAATTGGAACGAGAAAAACACACACTGATGAAATAGTATCAGTAAACAGATTAGAACAAAGATTATACAAAAAGAATGGTATGAACTACAGCTGTATTTGAAAAATTAGTATCTGCTGGAAAGCATTTTGGTACTAATGAAAACCAGAAAAACTGTTGATATTATGGTATATGGATCTCAATGCTGAAATGTGTACAAACCTGATTTAAAAAACAGCAGAGATGGGCTAGCTGAGAACATTAAGGGATTCAAAAATGTAAAACACTAAAACACCAAGACAATACAAAATCTTGTTTCATTGTTGCTGAATGGCAAAATTGAAAGACAGCAAAAGTATCAAATATTAAGCTCATTCTCAGATTGTGCACAGCTTGTACTGGTAATTATCTTTTGTTTGTCTTTCTATTGTCCTGCACTACCTTTGCTAAAAGACTTGTTTCCCCGTCCAACTTCCTTCAGCGACTCCAAAGGAGACTTTTCCTGTGTCTTTCATTTCACCACACCTCACCTATAGATGATCCAATTTAAAAAAACAAAGTAAAACAAAACAAACAAACAAAAAAAAAACCAACCAAAAAAAACCACCAAAAAAACCATACAAAAAAACCCAGCAAACTTTTCTACAAACATTGGCAACTCCAAAGTTTAACTCCTGCATTAATGTTTTTTAACTAAACTAGGATATCAATAGATCTGATACTCTATCAGTTTAAGTTCAACATTGACCAATGTTTCGATGTTTCCTAAACCCTTTTCTCCATTTCTACAGAACGTAATTTTCTTCCATCATGCCCTTAACTGGAGTGTTATTTTTCATTCAGACAGATGTGAGGCAACTAGAGATGTGCCTGAACATATTACCAGTGTAGCATTTGCAAGAGTCTTCCTCTTCCCTCTGTGCACAGAACTGATGCTTCTGTCCAGTTTATCCTTATCACTCTGCTCTGACTATTGTTCCATCGTCAGTCTTGGTAGGTTCCATCTCAATTCACCAATTTCCTTTTAAAATATAACACTAAAGATCACTTTAGTAGGCTGTTCCAAAGACAAACAATTTTTCTGTTTATTAAATTATCTCCCCACCCCCTAGACAATAAAGTGCTTGTCTTCACCTCTAAAGGCTTTTTTAATATATTTGTCTTCATGTTAAATTAAAATACTGACCTTCAGTTCATGTATCATGCTTAAAGATTTTTCAAAATTCCTTCGTAATCTCACTCAAAATGCGTTATGCATAGAAAAACCAGTTTTATTTAAAATTGCTGTTGAAGTTTTGTTGAGAACAATGATTTAACAAATAGTTTGCTATGATGCATATTTTACAATTCTGACCATTGTGCCATTATTTCTTTGCTGTCTTGTTCATGCGATACCTATAGTTTTAGAATTGTCACGAGAGACTTCTATCTAAATACTACTGTAATACAAATAAAACATAATGGAAAAATATTAAATATACACATAGAAATGGTTCTAAATCAGTGACCACAACAAGACTGAATTACATATATTTACACACATGCGTACATACAATGATCGAGTTATACAAAAATGAAATCATTACATACAGCAACATTTGTCTTTTGCCTTTAGACACACCACTACTACATACAATGAAATTCACATAAAATGAGAAAGGCATTTGTAGGTGTGCTTTAATTACTACTCTAGCTCTATCTTCAGCAGCACTATTGCAGCATTTTCCAGTACATGACACCTTGTAACAAAGCATCCCTCAACCGTAGCTGGAACACCAGTTAGTGTCTATGTGCAGGGCAAGTGTCTCCAGGACAGGAACAGGAAAGCTAGAAATTGGGAAATGATGGATGGGACGATGCCACCATGTGCTTCAAGAGTACAGAATCAAAACTCATTCTTCTCTCTCAAAAAATACACACATTTAATGTTGGTCTTTTAATTCTAAGAGAAAAGCAATTCCAAAAATACAAACTGAACATCAGAGTTAAGTCAACCACCATAATAAAATGAAAACAACATTCACAATACTTAGGTCTGTGGACAGCTGAAGTTTGACAAGTATTTTCTCCCCACACCTCCCCCATTTAAGTCCCCAAGTACATTCCAATATTTATCATTAAATGAATCTTTATGAAAAATACTGCTGGTGTTCAGTTAGAATTAAAGGACGTGGATAAAGTGAAACGAAGACAAATACAGATGGTGTGAGTAAGGTTACAAAGGCTTTACATTTTGCATTATCTCAAGATATAAACATTCAAAAATTAACATGAAGTTGCTGTGTTATCAAAATATTGCAGCTATAGGCAAGGCAACATTAAATAGCTGAGGGTGTGAGGAAAAAACCCACACATTTTAGTGAAGGTAAACAGAAGTGGGAGTTTTTAATTAGCATTTTTATAAAGCTAATATAACCCAGCAAGCCATAAGCCAAACACAGGATAAAAAGCTTTCTCTGCTTCCTTTGGCTATTAGGGAACCAAAAAAAAAAAAAAAAAACCCAAAAAAAACGGAAAAAATGTCACCTTTTCAAGATGTTCAAGATGAGCAGAAAAAGTCAAATAACCAAGTAATGGAATAAATAAGTACTAACTCAGGCAGTACATTTAAACCACTCT